CTGAAATATAGACGAATATAAGGGATCATTCCACTTAACGTCTAAGTTGTAAGGTGAACTAAATGGTCATCTCAAGCTACATTAAGTAATTGAAATGAAATACACAATGCACAAGTATACAATGTACAAGTATACTAAGCAATATTAAAACCTCAAGCACCAAATCACAAGCTATAAGTAATGAATGATTAACAACTTGAAATTGAATGCGAAATCAAGTAGTGAAAAAATTAGGACATGTGATCTCGAGTTCAATCAAGACCTTACAAGTTGTTCCAGGCCATTATAGCCCACAAGGTACTACCTAGTGTGCACATTTGGGGAGAACTTGTATCTCTCGCACAAAAGCCAAACTTTAGCCATCACATAAAACATGCCCTTATAAGCTTTCCAAAATTAACAAGTTCATAACTCATACTCAATTAACAATGCATGAAACCACATTCCATGTACAAGTAGGGTGAAACCACACAAACCATGCCCTAGGGTTTCTTGTCTATAATGGCATTTAAAATATCAAATCTTCAATGTGCGATTTGCTACACAAAACAATGATGCTATATGTTAACTAAATCAAGTTACTATCATGTAAACCACAAATACTAAATATACTACAATCTAGTAATAAGCTTCCAAGGTAAACATTAGTAATATTCTACAAGAGTTCATCATCACAACAAGAAAATTTATAGAATTAGTAATCTAGTAAATGAAATAATTTACTTACAACATGATATATATGCTTCACATGCTTTGAATCATTAAATCCTAAGTCAAGGATATATAATTTACATCTAAATTCAATCCTACAATTCAATAAGCATGTATACAATATATATAAAACTTCAAATACAATTTAACCAACAAGAGGATAAACATACTACAACCGCTACCTCACTAAAGGATTGTTCCTCTAGAATTGAAGACAAACGAACTCAAAATGCAAAATTGAGAAAATGTGTTATAGATTAAGAAGAAAGGAAACTTTTGTTTTCAAGGTGGAAGACCAAAATCCTAAAGGAAGGGGGTCGAATTTCAGAAATGGAGAAGAGGGTTTCTGGTTTTCTCAAACTGCCCACTAGAGGATTGTCCTTCTAAAATCCGAAGCAAACAATGTTAAAATGAAAAAATGAAAAAAAGTGTTCTAAATCAAGAAGAGAGGAAGTTTTGATCTTCAAAGTGGAAGATCAAATTACTATGTGAAGGGGTTCGAATTCTGAAAATGGCAACTAAGTCAAACCCTAAATTGGACAAACACACACACACACTAACACTACATCTCTCTCTCACACACCCATTTACCCTACACTTGTCACAATCCAAAACACCCAAATAAGGCTTAATCATAAGCCTACACTTGTCAACATCCCAAGCTAACAAGTGTTTTAATCCAAAGCCAGCAAGTGTTCCAATCCAAAGCTAACAAGTGGGTGAATCTACACCCAACACTTGTCACAAAAGTAAGTCTCCAAGTCTCACCATGCAAAGGATGACAAGTGGCCCCAAGGAAAGGTGACATTTGTCATCATTTCTAAAAATTGCAAAGAAGTCCCTCCTTTAAATATCCCAAGGAATATTTGTAATCAAGTCCCTAAGACAAAATATAATTGCATAAAGCACCCTGTATCCATATCCCTACAAAATGGAAATAACCGAGCATGTTTTTTAACAAAATTAAATCATGCATCAATAATAAAAGCCAAAATGATGTAATGCACAAGGTATCGGAAATCAGTTCCAGACACCGAAGCCTACTCGGGCGCAACAATACCCTAAGGCAATGCGGGAAAAAAAAAATCAAATAATTAAATAAATAAAATAAACAATAAAAAAATTTGAATGACGGAAAATCGGAAAAGGAAAAGGAAAAGGAAGACACGGTCCTTATATAAGTAGTCACATATAAAGAGTTGTGTTGGTTGATGGAAACAACACATCTCTTCACGTATGAACTGAAACGGTCCCAACCTTCACCATATATATGCATAAGTTTTGCATAAATAGGGGAGGGTTGAAAATCGTTTCCACGGTAGTTTTCTCCAAATTAAGTTTCTATATTTGGTATATCTTCTTACAAAGTTTATGCAGTGGATCAATGAATCCTATTTATATTAAAATTTCTTACATAAAAATGTACTTGAAATAATAAAGGGTAATTTAGGCATTTTATCTTATCAATTTTAAAAAAGAGGGTAGCAGAGCAAGTTAAACTAAACTTGAGGAGTGTCATAACAAAAATAATTTAATATGAGAATAATAAATTCAAACTTGAGGGAGTGTCATAACAAAAATAATTTAATATGAGAATAATAAATTCAAACTTGAGAAGATGTCAGAGCATTTAACTCCCTATTTTAAGTTGGTAGGTAAATACACAAATCGGGAATGAGACGTACTCAAGTTTAACTTGTCATTTGCTTAGCCTTTTTAGAGAGATTGAATAAGATTATATATATATATATATATATATAGAGTGTATTTGTTTCTTCTTACCTAACAACTAACGAATCTCTCATATGCTTGGTGTATTTGATTATACATAATGATACCTCACATCCAAACTAAGAACTTATCTCCTCGTAAAGTATATAGAGCATAGACAGACAGATGCCACGTGCCATTGAATCCCAAAGCCTCACCAAAATCACGCACCCATGCTGCTTTTTAGTTGTCAAGTTTGCAAGCTTGTAGCACTACTTTATGAAAATGATAAATCATCATTTGTGACTTCAAAACCCTCTTATCCATCAATGGAAGCTACTTATGTGCTGGCATAAATGAACCAATGACTCGAAATGTTATGTGATTTGTTCACCCATTTTAAAGTTTTGAATCGAGTTTTAACATTCAAACCTTTTATTTTGACAATTTTTTTTTTAATAGGATAACATTATAACGTTATTAAATCTATTAATTTTATTTTTTATTTTTGTTTTGACAATGATTAATAGTTAGTGGTAGGGACCGAAACTAAAATTCATAAGGTGGAAACTCTAAAGACCCAATCCTTTAACACTATTAAATCAAAAATACCATATCATTATCCAGAGCACCACATCGTTTATGCATCGTTATTTGGAACCAAATATTTACCATGGAGGATATGAGTCCTTTCTCACCTGTACCCACAAAAAATTTCTACTATAATAATAAATCATCAAAATGGTTACACAATATATGGTCATGGAGACACGTCCTGATAACATTGGCTACAATATTTTAAAATATTGTAACCCAATTCATCACTAGATTTGGTCTTCAAGTTAGGTTGTACAAGATTTTATTGTTCTTTGAGCAAAATAATATATATATATATATATATATATATATATATATATATATATATATATGGTTAATGGTAACGTTGCATTATGTGTCATTTTGCTCTGATATTTAAAAAATATATATAATAAAAAAAATAAATTGTAGTAATACTTGTGTTCCACTCAAATCACCAAGACTTAAGGGCCATATATGTTACTTATGCAAATTTAGTCAACACATGAATCATATGATATGATCAATAATTATGGAAACCTTTTGGTAATGGAAACATAGCGCACACACGTGTTGGTGACAAATTTGGCTTGACTTGCTTAATTGTCCCAAGTTAAGCTGATTTTGATGATAATGTGTGTTCTTCGAAAGAAAGAGAACACAACGGATAATTTTGTTTATTTTTTTTTTCTTCTGAAATTTAGTTGATTGACCTTAGATAATGTCTTCTAACTACCCTATTGATAATGATAATGGGGAAGATAATTCCACCATAATGTAGAAGATAATTCAACTTTTTTTCAACATAGCACACACATCTCGGGGAAAAAAAGACTGACCATCTTTTTGGTTCTTTAAATTTATAGGCAACAAATTTTCAAACTCATTATTCAAAAAACAAAAAACAAAAAATAGTTTTTTTAATTGTTAATAATTGTAATGGGGCAATATTGTGGGGGTGCATTTAAAAAAAAAAAAAAATTATAATGAGTCTCAAAAAATACATAAATGTTAATTGTTTATAATTTACTTTATTTTATTTTTATTTTTATGTTTTTAAGAATCACACACACACACATATAAGGAAATAAGAATCACATTCACTATGTACACTTATTTTCAAGAGCCTATTTAAAATATATTTGATTAAATTGACGGATGATTTTGCATTTTTTAATTGATTGTGAGGGAAGAAATGACGCGGTTCAACATTAAAATTATTGTAACGTAGTAGTAGAAGAATAAGTGACATGACATTTTGAAAGAACTAATATGGCAGTTTTAATATGGAATAAAAGATATATTTTGAATTTTAAAGATCACAATATCTTTTTATGTTTTTTTTTATTTGGTTGACATTTCCAGTGTTTTTACACCGCACGCACCGTTTGGACACACTGAATTGAGGTACGCTAAAATCTAAATTGAAGAGAATGAGGGAGTAATGCTACTTAATCGGAATTGTTAAAAGGAAATGATAGATTTTATTTTTTTATATTTTGCATACGTAACTAATTAAATATATTTGACTGAATTGTCGAAGAGAATTGCTTGACTGCATAGTATTGATGGATAAAATTTACAACATTTAAAGGAAGGGATGGATATCACCTTCTTAAATTCTGCATAAATAATTAATCAAATATATTCGGTTTAATATGATTTCACTACAAGTCCAACGCGTCCAACCTTTAAAATCATTTTTCCATAGAGAATTTATATTTTATCCAATTTCCAAATATAATATAATTGATATTAATTTATCCATCTGTTTCAAAAATTCGGACTTTAATAGCTATAAAAACATGCAACACAATTATGCGCTCCCAGTACACGCAAAGCACCAGATATTTTCTCTCTCCTCTGGAAATTGAACAGCTTTTTGTTAGGCGGTACGGGAAGAAGAAAGATCAGTGGCATTTCCGAAATATTCGCTAAATGGAAGGTGAGTTTTCTAAGTAGGAGTCTCCTTCGTCTATTTATCGGAGTCCAGCTATGCAAGCGTGTCTTGGACTCGCTGAGACTTCACTACTCTCCCCACACACAGACTACACAAAAAAACCGAAAGCAATAAAAAGAAAAAGGCACTGACAAGAAAGGCAAAAATAGCTGATTTTTAGAGAGAGAAACACCGATTTTATAATTCTAGAGAGAGAGAAAAAGAATAACAAAGTGATGCTCCCTTTGATTAACTCGAATTTTCCAGTGTTTGGTACGTTCTGTTCTCTCTCTACCATAGATATACTTGTTTATAAACTAGATATATATCTGTATGTATGTATGTATATGGCGCATATGTATGGTTCGTTGTTTTTGTAAAGTTATTTGAAGGTATCTTGAACTTCAGTCTCTTTGGATGAGAATTATCTGAGACTGTGTTGTGTCTAATCGACTCCGACACTGTGATGTTTGATTTTCGTGAACGGAAATGCGAATTGACGATTGAAATGGAGATCTCAAGATTGTAGTGTCTTGAAGTATTCTATTACTTTCTCTGTTTGCGATTGAATTTTAGGTATTTCGATTAATTTAAGCTGCATTGAGAATTTAATATTATACTTGTAAAGTTGTTGGAGAAGATTTGAGTATTTGATCTGCATTGCATGAACGAGTCAATTCCTGATATAAATAATGCATGCTTAATTCTTCTGGTTTACTTTACTTTTCTTTTTCTTTTAAAGTTATATTGTTGGATAAACATACGTGAAAATTAATTCACAATTGGTTTTTGAACAGTTGCAAGTAACTAGTGCTTGCCTTTTCGAAGTCTTCTTTGTATACTTAAGATGCAAAATTCTCAAATGTTTAGTCTTTCATTGCTGATCAGGGAGAAGGAAACCATATATATATATATTTTAATTTTCTTGAAGATTAAGTTTGGGTCAACCTTTGGTACGAAGATACTTTCAAGGGTCACAGTTATGGTGGTTGACTAAGTCCATGATTTTCCTTCACACTATTAAAAAAAAAAAAAATAAATAAAAAAAGAGGAAGAAAACATGAAATTTGTTGCCCACTAATACAAGGAACTATTAGAAAATAAACTGGGCAAAGTACTTGTATATTGTGTGGTGGTCGGAAAATTTTGGAAAAGAAAGAAAGCAAAATTGTGAAATGCAGGTTTGTTAATATTTGGGATCTAAGAAATAGCAAAAAATAAAATAGAGCATAATAGTTGGATTAGTTTCTTTGCAATTTTTCAGTTTTTGAGGGCCAGAATAACCTAAGATAATGTGTAGCATTAAAGAATTCTTTTTCATCTCCCTTACTGAGCAACCAAACTATGGCTAAACAACAATTTCCATCTAAGATGGTTTTTGATTCTACTGCATTGCTAGGTAAGTATAGTTTGCATCAGATGGGATGAAGCAACTGGTAAATGGTGCAAGAGGACAATGTACAATAACTTTGGACACTTTTAAAAAAACCAAACCTCAGCCAAACACAAGTGTGAGATCTATCCGGTCCTGTTTTACCTGCAATAGGATCTTTTTGATTTGTCTTTGACATAGGATAAAAAACTTAGTAAACAACGTACCCTAAAATGTAGTTATAAATCTAAGTAGACTATTCTATCATAACACGGTAGAATGGAGGTCTGTTTTGTGTATTCGTGGAATAAAAAACCTAGTAAACAATGTACTCTGAAATGTAGTTATAAATCTAAGCAGACAATGTATCTTGACACGTGGTGGAATGGAGGTCTGTTTTGTGTATTCAAAATCACATCATCTTGTTAGTTTAGTATAAACAATTTTACTTCAATTTGATTAAAATAAAAGCATAAGGTTAGATTTCAATTTTAAGTGGCATTTAGTTTTGTTACTTATCAAAAAAAAAAAAGTGGCATTTAGTTTTGTTGAATTTAAAATATACATGAAGTACCTTTTATCGGAAGGAGTTGATAATTGTTTCCTACTTATAATGGTTTTGCTCATAATGAATTATATTAGATTCATTATTGGATATTTTCAATGGCTAAACAAGGGTTTCAAGAGAAATCTTTCCGATATCTTAAGCTACTATTAATAATTTGTATCTCAAAAAGCAAGAAGAATTATATTTAAATATAAATTGTAATATTCATTATAATAATATAATAAATGTCAAAATCATTTTGAATTTTTACTGGCCACAAATTATATTGAGCCGGCCTGAATATGTCAAAAATCTACATGATTTTTGCTTTTTATATGTCAAGTTTCATTTTTTTAAAATCTTTTGATTAGTTGTGTTACATATATTGAATTGTTTCTAATGTACATTGGTTTAATTGAATTCATTTGCAAACTGGAAATATATATATTTATAGTAGCTAATTCATTGGATTGATATGCTAAAAAATTCCTTTATTTGATCTTGATTAGTTTGTGTTGCATATTTTTAATTCTTTTCAGTCCGTATATTTGTGATTCATTTTTATCATATATGCGCCGTACTTCAATCAAGCTCTTGCCTTGGGCTTCGGGAGGCCAAGATTTATAATTTTAAAACAAAGAATGAAGAACTTTTTATTTTATTATTTTAATTTTTGATAATTAAAGGTAAAAGAACAACTAAACAGCACCAAAACCAAATATAGACTAAGCATGCAAGAGAAGGATATCCATAGAGGGTTGAAAGCAGAGATTGTGTTTTCTAAAAAGTCGTTAAAGAATCAAAAAAAAAAGTGAGATTATAATTTTTTTTCCTTTTCTTATTTATTCTTTAACTGTGAATTAATTTTTTATATTAATGTTATTCATTGCAGGATAAACCGATGCATCTGGATTAGGAGAGGTAGTATTGGGAAACAATTATTTTTTTGCACCTATAACGATTGCGTGAATGCTGAAGACAATCTGAAACAAATCCATATTCAATTGATTAGTGCTGACTGGTTTACAGTTATCCTACTGAGCCGAGTTGCAACATAAGATTTGTCCAAGTTTTACTTGCATGCACTGAAATTCATAATTGTTTTCGTGACTGCTGATGCATCCTGTGTTTATTCGTGGTTACCTCTGCTGGTTTGTTTTGTTGGGGCATCTTTTTCTATCTGCTATTTCGATTAGTTCAGGGAAGTACAAAGAAACGATTTCTGAGTCAGAAAATGGAATACTTAACTACTCTCGATTTTTTTCAAGTGAAATTTCTGATATCAGCACCTCTACCTCTGTTGAAAATTCAAGTTCTTCATCCCTCTTGAAGGATTCAGTATCTTGTGAGGAACTGGAAGGTGTTGGGTCGTTCAACACTACCTGCTTGCTGAATTCAAACTTGAATTTAACTTCCGATCTTTATGTATTTGGTACTGGAAACATAGAGATACTTCCTCATATTTCAATTGAATGCCCCATAGAAGGATGTTCCATAAGTTTCAATATATCTGGCAATGTCAAAGTGGGTCAACATGCCACTATCATTGCTAGTTCCATACTTTTTTCTGCAGCCAATTTGTCAGTGGAACCAAATTCGGTTATGAATACGACATCCTTGGGTGGTCCACCACCTTCTCAAACTAGTGGTACACCAGTTGGATACGATGGAGCTGGTGGAGGACATGGTGGCCGAGGTGCATCCTGCTTGAAAGACAACCAGACCAATTTTTGGGGTGGTGATGTTTATGCTTGGTCTACTTTGTCTGAGCCATGGAGTTATGGGAGTAAGGGCGGTGGGACTTCTGCTGAACATCAGTTTGGAGGGAGTGGTGGAGGACGCATTATGCTTGAAGTGAAAGACACACTACATTTGAATGGATCTGTAACTGCAGAAGGAGGGGTTGGAGGATTAAATGGGGGAGGAGGATCTGGTGGAAGCATCATTGTACATGCTAGAAAGCTGTGAGTACACACTACCTGCTCAGAGTAATCAAATGTTTCTGTGTAATCTTTTCGTCTGGGATAAGTAAAATAATTCAATATATTTTAAAAGAATAAGTAATTTTTTGGATTCCAAGGCCCACTAAATAATGATTGGGAGGAAATTATTTTCCAAATGATAAAATCCATGGACGTTCCAATCAATGTTGTTGAGGACCTTTGCAGTGTTGTAGCTTCTCACTTTAAATTGATTTTCATCACAGATTTTATTTGAAAACCATCTTACACTGTTTGTTGATGGCATATTGCTATATAGGCATCGATCAACAATTCTTTGACAATGACTTGGTGTGGATACAAGAGCCTTGTTCTCCAATCCTTTTTGCAGTACTTTGATGTATTTCATTTTGTGCCCTGTGGAAGGGTTTCATGTTAGGTTTCTAGGTGTTATGTTGCTATCTTCTCTTTGCACTTGGTTTTCTTTAGCTTTTTTTTTCAGTGAAGGATTTCTCAACCTTGTTTTGTATGTACTTTTTTTTTGGGATAAGTAATTATTTTGTATATTATTATTATTATTATTTTTTTCCTAGTTGGTACTCATACACACACATCTCTTCTGAGACTTGAATCCCTGACCTCCCTTTGGAAAGCAAGAGGCTGATACCGCTAGGCCACTGGCCTGTTGGTTATTATTTTATTTTTGGATTAGTAATTGTTTTGTATATACGACCTGTTCTCCTAATTATTTTTTTTTAGTAATATTCCTTGTGGTTTTGTTTGAAAAAAAATTAGATTCTGTCTTAGTTTTCTTGTTTATTAACTATATCTTAGATACTATATATTCTTATATAATTTGACTAAAAATGCAGAAGATTGAAATTTATCTGGACCCTTAACTCAGCTGTATACGTTGGATCAGTTGCAAACTAGTCATGTAGCTTATTTATCACGTAGCTTATTTTTACTCTAATTGTTTGGATTTTATTTCAATTATACAGGAAGGGATTTGGTACTATAAGTGCAGCAGGTGGGAGGGGATGGGGTGGAGGCGGAGGTGGAAGGATATCACTGAAGTGTTACAGCAAACAAGAAGATGTAAAAGTCACTGTGCATGGTTTGTACTGAATCTGTTTCAGGCAGTTTAGTAGAAGCTTTGATTGCTTTGCCAACTGCTAAAAATTGTAGTAGAATCTTTGATTGCTTAGTCAAATGCTAAATATGCCATTTTTAAGTAAGAGTCTCAACTTGCTTTATAGAACTAAGTGGTTACATTCTTAAATTTATAGTAAGTAATATGTGGTTACATTCTTATATTTATAGCAAGCAATATATTCATATATCCACAATGGGGGTGGATTAGTTCATTCTACCTGCTGCTATTTTTGTAGTCCAATCAATTTGAGTTAAACATTTTGTTTTGAGGAACTTTTTCGCAATCAATTTACTAACAGTTCCATCAATAATGTATTTAATTTGTGGTATGTTGTGCACATCCATTGATACTGTAAAATGTAAAAATGTCTTTTAACCTATCAAGATATGTATATATATATGTGTGTGTGTGTGTGTGTGTGAGAAGGCAGTGTATTCTTGATGTGTACAAGTTTTCTCTATGTTGAGTATTGCATGGCTTGCTTTGTGGCCTGTCATTTTCGTGTAAGGTAGTCAACACGTTTTCTGCAAGAAAAATGTCTAAAGGATCATAGCAGTTGATTCTAGCATTCTTCTTCCCCTTTCTCTGTAGTAGAACTGTAGTTTGGTGCTGCAGCATGGATGACACTGCTCCATTATCTCAGCTATTAATTGCTGGGATGGGCAACTGGGTGTGCTTAAGTCAGGTGATAATTTGCATGTGGGACAGTCCATGCATGAGTTTATTTAGTCAAGAAGTGCCACAACTGAGTGATGGTGGCACACAGTGGCATCACTCACAGGCAATGTTGCCACACATCAACAACTTAAACCATTAGGAATTTTTTTTTTTTCAAACCTGACTTTGTTTATTCGCTTCTTTCTCTACTCTTACAATAAATTGAATTCCTTTGTTTATTTTTTCTAGACTAGAGATTCATGATGTAGCTTGCTTGGTGTAAGCTTATTTTGAGTCTATGGATATTGTATTTTGCAAACTTTTTGATTAATGAGGTAGCCTTCACCTAATATACTTCTTGATGACCTGACATTTTTGTTATGGGTCATAAACATATTTATAATGTGATAATCGGTCAACTGAAATAAAATGTTGATGTATGGGGAACTATTTGAACCTTTTCCTAATCATTTCTCCAGTGAGATGACTGACTCATTTAGCCTTTTGTGCAGTCATGCTAAATCAAGTTGTTAGTAGTGCTTATTTCAGCAATATTATTGCAATGAGTTCATTCTTTGTAGGTCCCTTTGTATGATATTTGTTAAGAATGTATATTTGTATTTTGTATTTCTTCCAAGGGCAAATTAGTCTTTTCAATGTAATTCCAATTGATATATATACACACAGAAGTGAGAGAAGAAAAAAAAAAGAGAACTCTCACAAAAGATTCCCCCAAATTTCATTCTTCTTCTTCTTGTAAAACCCTAATTTCAACATGGTATTAGAGCAGGTTTGATCAACTTCCGGTCGTGATAGCCGTGGCTCGTTGTTGTTGAAATCGAAGGAAGCCATTGGTTCGTGAATGGCGTCAGTGTCAATCGAGTTGTTGTGATCCACACTGGTTTGTGGATGTGCTGGTCAACTGTTGGGGGATGGTGTGAGTTGTGATTGACGAAGGTATCATTGAGATCATTGTCATTGGCGTTAGTTGTCGTCGTCGATTGCCGTTGGGGGTGGGAGCCATCATCATTGTTAGACTGTGTTGCTTCTAGGGTTTTTGGGAGACTAACAACTGAGGAAGATACGTTTGAGCTGTTGGGTATCATACTCCAACCCATTTATGTACCTACTCGATTTGGCTGTGTTAAAGCAACTCGGTTTGGACCTATTGAATATGATTGAATTGACCCAACTAGAGAAACGACTCGTTCAGTTTCTTTTTCTGCCCAGTTCTCTTTTTCTCTCTCTCCAACCAGTTTCCGGCTTCCATTTTCCAGTCAATTCCGTTCAATTTCAAGCTGGTTTAAATTTTTTATTCCGTCTGGTTCAGTGCAATTTTCAACCGGCTCCGCTCCTCTTGCTTTCCTGTTTTACCTCTCTTGATTTGATCTCCTACAACCTTGACTTTCCAGTTGTATTTCACCGTGACAGAAGAATCACTTTGCTCTTTTAGTTCTATTCTTTTTACCAAGATCGTCAGTAGAAAGATGAGAGGAGGACATGGTCAAGGTAGAGAACAACATAGACGTACTTAACGAGGCTTTACTGATCATAATGTCAATTATTGTTTTAAACTCCATGACAAACCCACTAACTATGCAAATTAGGTTTCTTATGAGAGGATGTTCCCATTTCACATGTCCATTCTTCTATTTCCTGCAAAATTTTCTGAATCAGACATGATCATTATCGATATGCTTTGGTTCTATATCAGCAACGGCTATCACAGTCATCTTCAGAAATGGATATCACTGTAATCGTCCATGGCTATCTCTGCTCAATCAAGTATTGTGTGCACATGGTGTTTTTGTCTTCCACTCACAGTCCCTAGAGTATTGGTTCTGGAGCAGTCGACCATATGGCTGGTTGATCTCATTTTTTTTTATCAGACTTTGATTCTATTGCTCTTTCTCAGAGTCTCTCTCTTGCTAATGGTTCATCATCTAAAGTTTTAGGTTTTAACATGACTCTTGTTTCTTCCTTGTCTCCATCATCTGTTTTATACGTTTCACAATTTCCCTTTAACTTGATGTATATTAGTAAGCTTACTAAATCCATCTAGTGTTCCATTACGTTTGATCTCACTTGTGTTTTTCAGGATCTTAAGATGAAGAAGATTGGTACGGATAAGAAGTCAATGGCTTATACTATCTTAATTTTGAGCTCCATCCCAAGGGTTATCATTTTCTCTATCTTCGTTTTAGTGGAACAGTCGTCTTGGCCAACTGTCGCTTTCAGCTTTGTAGTGTCTAAGTCTAGATTCTTAGTCGTATGTCGTCTTTGTCATGTGAAGCTTGTTAACTTAGCAACTTTATAATCATCGTTGTGTGTCCAGTCCCTTACAGTCGATTCATTCAAATGTAAGGGTTTCAATAGAGCATAATTCCATTAATGGATTTTGTTATTTTTTGACCTTTGTATATGGTCATTCTTGTATGACTTGGTTGTTCTTAATGAAAGATCAATAAGCGATATTCAAATTTCAAACATTTTGTAAGGAAGTGAAAACTAATTTGGATGTTCAATTCATGTCTTGCATTATGATAATGCCAAGGAATATATCTTAGGTCCTTTTGATATATATCTTCATCATCAAACATCATGTGTTTTCACCCTACGACAAAGTGATGTGGCTGAACGTAAGAATCATCGCCTATTGGAAGTGAACCGTACTCTCATATTTCATATGCATGTCGTGAAACATTTTTGGAGTTATGCCGTATTTACCTCATGTTATCTCATTAGCAGTTTGCCATCTTCTGTGTTGAACGGGAATCTCTTCACTTTGCTTTGTTTCCTAATTCTCCCTCGTACTCCTAGAGTCTTTGGGTGTGTCTGTTATGTCCACAATCTCAGCCTTGGTTTTGATAAACTTGATCCTCCTGCCACTAAATCTGTATTTCTCGGTTATTCAGTTTCCTAGAAGGTTTATCATTGTTACCGTCCTACCCTTCAGCGATACTTAACTAGCTGAGGTGAAACCAGGAGAGTTTGATTTGTATCAGAGCAATATATATATATATATATATATATATATATATATATTGTATATTTATACTAATACTAACTACGGAGTATATCGAAAAGAAAAAAAATCGAAATGTCTCTTTTTGTAAGTATATTTCGTATTTTTCATATAAAGTCCTCTTCTTGATATTACTCCTGGGAGGTCCTCACTCCTTACTCTATATGTTCTACTTCTTCTCCCATCGTTATCCACTCACTCTACTCTACTGCAGCCCATTGCTCCATTACAAGTTTATACTCGGAGATCGAAGCCATCTGTTGCCATGCCCTATCTGCCTTCTTCAGTCTTTGGATCCAACACTATCTGCTGTGTTTGACTCTTTGCTTATTGCCCTTCATAAAGGTACTTGGTCTTGTATAACTAATTATCGCATTACTAGTTATGTTTCAAACAAATCCTTATCACCACCTTTCTCATGTTTCTCCTCCAAGTTGTCTGCTACTCTTGTTCCTAAGAACGTGCAAGATGCTCTAACTGATTCGGGCTGGAGAAAGCAATGGAAGATGAAATAAGTTCTTTACATCGTAATGGAATGCTGGATCTTGTTCCACTGCCTCTTGGTACCAAACTTGTTGGTTGTAAGCGGGTATATACGGTGAAATATCTCCCTGATGGTTCTATTGAGCATTTAAAAGCACGTGTTGTTGCAAAAGGTTTTACATACACCTATGCTGTTGATTATGATGAAAACTTCTTTCTTGTTGCCAAAATTTCTTCTGTTAGTGTTTTAATTTCTATTGCCGCTAATCTTAACTGGCCTTTGTTTTAGTTAGATGTTAAAAATGCCTTCTTACATGGTGATTTAACTAAATAAGCCTATAGGGAGCAATCACCTAGGTTTGTTGCTTTGGGGTGTATTGACACACTGTCTATCGTCTAAAGAAAGCCCTATATGGTATGAAACAGTCACTAAGAGCATGTTTGGAAAATTTTCTGAGGTAACATTAGAATTTGGTCTATATAGATGCCAAACAGACCATTCAGTATTTTATCAACATACCGAAACAGGTTACATTTTTTCTTTTCTATATATGTAGATGAAATCGTTATCACCGGCAATGATTCTATGGGAAATGCTAAGTTGAAATTGTTTCTGCAACATTGATTTCAACCTAAAGTCTTGGGTAACTCTTTAGTTATTGAAGTTACTCGATCTAAGTAAGGTATGTGTTTGGTTGTTTTAGAGAAATGATGTGCCGTACTTACCAGAGGAAACGGTTTGTTGGGTGGTTGTCCAGTTGTTGTTCCTATATATCCGAACACTAAGCTCTTTTTTGACGAGGCAGATTTATTTGATGACGCTGGCAGATACAATAGACTGGTTGGGTAACTAATTTGTCTCACCGTTACTCAGATTGATGTGTCATATGCTGTTTGACGTAGTGAGTTAGTTCATGGGAGCTCACAAGGTGCCACATTGGAATGTTGTCCTCCGGATTATTCGATATCTCAAGCAAGCTCCTGGCTTTGGGTTGTTTTATAAACCAAATGGGCTCCTTATGGTGGAAGGTTTTACAGATGCTGATTGGGCTGGTTCTTGCTCAGATAGAAGATCCACTATAGGATATTGCACCTGCTTAGATGGAGAGGTAAGAAGCATACAGTGGTAGATAGATCCGGTGTTAAAGCCAAGAACAGGGCGATTGCCCACAACTCTAGTGAGTTAACATGGTTACCATATTTCCTTGAGGATCTTGGTTGGACAGTTAAAACCCCTCTTCCATTGTTATGTGATAACCAAGAAGCTTTCCAATTTGCCTCCAAATCCTGTGTTTCATGAGAGGACCAAGCATGTTGAACTTTATTGTCACTTTATTCAAGATAAGATATTAAATGGAAACATCTTTACACCATTTGTGAAATTTAATTGCGGATCTGTTTACTAAGGTTTTGAGTCATAATCGATTGAAAGTTATTAGTTCCAAGATGGAGAATATATGAATTTGTATTTCTTCTAACGGAAAATTTGTCTTCTCACTATAATTCCAATTGATAAGCGCGCGCGCACACACACACATGTTAGAGAAGAAAAAAAGGGGATTATTATTCTTCTTGTAAAACCCTAATTTGTACAATATTAAATCAAGTAACAATAATTTCAGCCTTTGTACTTCACATAAATTTTGAGCCTTAGAATTTTACTTGATTTTGGTATCTTCTTTTAAGTTCTGGTTGTTTCTCACTTCACCATGTCTTCAAAACATTTTGTTGCAGCTTAGTTCATGTTCTGTCAATTACTTGGCTCAAATTTTTAGTTGAAGAGTTTGGGCTTGAACTTCTAATTTTTATGTACTCCCAGATTCAATGAATTTGAAGTTGAAGAATTCAATCCACCCTTTACTCAGAGTATGTGAAGGATGCTTGCTTTCTTTGACTCCTATAAAAAGAGCATGGCAAATTTCTATGTTGTGAATATACTTGTGTCTGTGTACCATATTTACTTGGGTACCCTTTACAAGGCTGCTTAGAATTGCTAAACCATTATATTACGGTAATATTTATATCTGTGTCATATGAGGAGTCAGTGGGATCAAGTTTCTGAAATTTATTACAAGTATTCCATCTTTCAGTCTCAACATTAATTAGCTTTGAAGATTAATTATACACGATACGGTATCAAGGTGCCTATGGCTATCTGGCAAAAAAATTGAAGATACTTGATCCCACTGACTAACTGATACTGTACACCTTGATACCAGCTTGCAGATACTTTTAGTTCTGGTATAGTATTGTCTTGATTTTTTTCAATTGTTTTTCGCCAGATAGTCATTTGCGTCTTTTGGATTTGATGAAGGGTAGCAAGAAGAGGAGAACGAAATGTAAGGAGGGATGGGGCAAATGGAAATAGGAAGTTTGGAGATATGGAATTATTAAATAATGTATCAAATGAAAAATTATTGTGATATGAAGACGACGCAAGTAACCTACTACGGCTTCCTGAACTGATGTAGAATGATTTATATGCATACTTGTAGAATGGATTTTTGAGTTTGATGAATCCTTCACCATGGTCTTGAGACCTAATTTCACCTTGTTATCTGAGTAATCATGGCGTGTGGAGGCTGCATCCAACTTCTGCTCACTGTGTGCTATATTATCTCTTAAATCTTTTATCATAGCTGATAATTCAGTTCCTATGCATCTTTTTAATTACTTTTGAAGTTGTGGACGTCATATTCACCTGCATATTCATTGTTGAGCGGTTGTAATGATGAAAGATCAGTTATTTTAAACATACTTATAGTTTTGTCAAGGTTACTCCTAGATATATTGAACTTCCAGACGGTTTTCTGTTAAGCTACATAATCTGCATTTATTGCTACAGGAGGTTTGAGTATTGGCTGCCCTTGGAATGCTGGAGCAGCAGGTACCTACTTTGATGCATCTGTACAGAGTTTAAGAGTTAGCAATGACAATGTCACAACAGAAACGGAAACTCCTTTGCTGGATTTTTCTACTAGCCCACTGTGGTCAAATGTTTATGTGGAGAACAATGCAAAAGTTTTGGTGCCTCTGCTTTGGACCAGAGTTCAGGTTATCATAACTTAGTCTTCCTCAAAATATATTTATTTTTTATTTTCTTGATCAGATAAATTTTCTTCGTCTTTACATGATCTTAAAAGTATATGGGCACAGAGATTTCATTTTATTTTATGTTAAAACATACCCTATACGTGGAAAAGGCTTGAGTACTGTGCGATCTAGTTCGTCTAGTCTAAATAGAAATTCAATTCAATAAAATAGCGGCTAGAAGGGGGACATTCTAAAGTAAGAGTATAAGGGCAGTAGAATGATCAATTTCATTCGATGGCGCATCAAGGCTAAATACAATTGGCAAACACCAATTGAACAATCGTCATGGCCACATGAACGTCATTCATAAACTTCACTTTCTTAAGAGAAAAGGGGTGACGTGAAAGTCTGGCGAAGGGAAGATTCACATTGCAGTCCCAGCTGCTCTAGTTCCTAGGTTGCTACTCTAGTGCTTTATGAGATTTCCTTGGATGAGGGCACTAGCTGACATGAAATGAGACTTTCTTTAGAGACCATTTCCTCTACTCAATGGATGGTGAAATCCACTTTTATACCTGCTGTTGTAGCATTAGAAAAGGAAGCTCTTATTAAAGCAGTATTGGATGAACAGGGTGGGACTAAAAGGTATACCTTCCCTGCGCTTCAGGCTCTAGAGACCTCTTATTGACTTTAAAAACAGCATTTGAATGATGCTGAATTCCTACTACTTATTAGTAGCTAGTTCTTATTGTTTGGGTAGCTTGCTTTGTCTTTCCAACGATCTTTATTAAGACTTTAAGATGAAGTTGAAGGGCGGCATTGTCAATTAAGGAGCCTCCCGAAGAATGCCAGAATGTAAGTCTTCTTTTGACGATTCGACCGGTTCAAGTATGTCTCTATCTTGGTTTGCCTATAGAAGTGGTGAAACTACCACATCTCACTGGAAGGTTTATGTTAGATATTTGTATATATTTTTCTTTCCTGTATTAATCCCTCACAACGACTATCTGAAAAGTTGGTGCTTTGGAAGAGTTGGAAGTTGTGATGTACTTACCCCAGCTAATTGGGAAAAAAAACAAAAAAATGATTTAGGAACTCTGGTCAATTATCAATGTTGATTGTCTGGAATCCACCTTTGGAGTCACTGCCATTTTTGGTTTGGAATTTTCAAGATGAAGGCCTCAAGTAAGGCTGAGGATTCTTGCAGTTCAACATGGCCTTTAAGGAGTGTTAACCTAAAGGGTCGATTTTAGACAACAGTCAGGGTGTCTTTATGAGTATGTTCCAAGTGACTGTAGAATAACTGACAGCTTGCAAAGGGGATTTTTGTTCTTATTCTTTCTTTGAGTGCTTCCTTTCTTGGACACTGAGATTGGGGTGGTTGAAAGCAGCCTTATAATTTTATTATAGGGTTAATTCCACCTACACCCCCTGACCTTTGACCATATCCCACTCACACCCCCTAACTTTCAATATTCCACCTACCTCCCCTCTCTGTGATGGCCGTTTACTTTACTAACAGAACTGGGTGATTTTACAATTTTACCCATCAATTATATATTAATATTTATACAATTTTAAAGATAAATCTAAAAAGACAAAAACACCCTATATACGTAGACAAATATACATAAATAAACCTGCACAAAAAAATATTAGAAACCACACAGAGAAACCAGAAACCAGCATCCCTTGCGTCCCTCCTCCGCGCACCGCCATCAGCACCCATCACTGTCGTCGCTATCCACCTAGTCGAGGTCATTGGATGTCAACATTGACGACACCAAAAAATTCGGCGCAAAAAACCCTAATCACATCCAAGCCCAAAGGCACAACCCAATCATCGGCGGCTTCGTGCGTCAAATCGTCAATCGCTGGCCTAAACGCACAACCAAATCGTCGGCGACTTCGTGCTTCAAATAGTCAATCGCTGACCCAAATGCACAACCCAATCGCCGTTCATTCAACCCGGAATACCAAACTCATAACCCAATCGTCGTTCACTCAACCCAATCATCATTGCAGAGTTGTTCACCGTTGCAATCGGCCCACATCTCTGCCATTGTTTCAGTCCGTCACCACTGCTTCACCACTGAACATCATCCACCTCCGGACCAGTCGTCACAGTTTGTGGTTCTTTGCCTGCTGATCATCATTGCATCCTCGTTAATTGCGCCTCTGGCGTATCCCAAGCTCCACCGTGAATGGAGCTTCTTAGTTGGGTTCGTCTGAACTTGAGAGCCTCTCTCTCTTCTTTTTTGATTCATTGTTGGTGGGTTTGGATGGAATATGGTTTTGAGTTCATTTGGAGTATCGGGTCTTTGTTAGTTTTGGGGGGTTTGTTGTGGCAATGGATGTGGTGGCGTTGGTGGAAGCAATGGCCAGCGACTGGTACTTGTTGATGGGTAACTGATCCAGTGGTAATGGATGTGGTGGGCAATGAACTTACCAGCGAAGACGGAGTATGACGAAGCCGGTGTAGATGAGTTTTTATGTGATACAAAGAGAATGTGTGGGCACGATGGTGGTGATGGTGACGCAAAATGGTGGTGGGTATTGGGCAGTGATGGTGGTTTGGCAGAGAGTGAATATAGAAGGGCATTTGTGTGCTTTTGAGTTAATAAGTTAAGGATGGTTCTGTAATTATGCATTGGTCATTATGGTTAAAGATATTAGAGGGGTAAAATTGATTTTTTGCCATTTTTTTGCTGACATCAGCACTAACTGTTGGTTGCTTAACAGCCCACATGCTACATAAATCAAAAGGTCAAAGGGTGTAGGTGGAATATTGAAACCAAGAGGGGGTGTTACTGGGATATGGTCAAAGTTCAGGGGGTGTAGGTGGAATTAACCCTTTATTATATTACTATAATTATTATTATTATTTTTGATGTGGTACTATGCAATAAAAAGTAAACAACTTGTTTCACCAATATATATTGTTCACTTTATTTTACAGTAATCGTACTAAAGATTTGGATACAAAACATTACATATTTTACACGCGTTTCAATTTTATTTATTTTGCCTATTTTGAAGACAGACCAGTTTTAAGCATTTCTTTCTTTCTTTTTTTTTTTTTTGGGGAAGGTGGTGGGGTTGTTTCTATCTATTGTTTTAGAGGTACTTTAGAATCTAAAAATAACAAATTCAGAGACCTTCTTACTCTCTGAATTATTATTATTAAATTCATTCTAAAGGTTTAAGTGTCTTAATATAGACGATACGGTGCAAGGCAATACTAGAGATGATAGAATTGTTACAAAAAATTGATTGATGATACACCATTTTGCATTTATGTTGATGCCGCTGCATAAGAGGTCTCCCCTTCGCCCTCACCTGGGGGCGTCATTGGCCCCAGCAATGAATGCTCTTGGGAAATTGCAGTAGCTCTACTTTGTGATGAGTTATAGTCTCCTCGTAGATTTCTCGTTCTCCAAATCATTTTGTTATAAATAAAACAATATTTCATCGTTTCTGCTTGACTCAATTGCTTTTTCATGGAAATAATATCATTTGAGATAATTCTATATACACACACACACAAGGCTCCCTTAAAGTAATATTTTTTAAAATTTACCTTTTTGTTGTATAGGTGAGGGGCCAAATTAGTCTACTTCGCGGGGGGAACATTATATTTGGATTGTCTGAGTATCCAATTTCAGAATTTGAGCTTGTTGCAGAGGAACTTCTAATGAGTGACTCCATTATAAAGGTGTGGGATTTATTTGCAATTTTTTTATGTTCTTTTTAGCTTCTTTGTTAACTAGTTGTGATCTATCTGTTCTCGTTTCATTGCCATCTGATATAAATGGAGCTGAATGGCGAAAAAACCAATGTAGACCCCAGCTAGTCGTTATGTTATCTAATTGTTGGTTAAATTGAGTGTCTTCTGCAAGACGATGTACTTTTATTTTCTGTTGAATTATTGTTTGCCTATCGTCCACCTTTATTTTTAAACCTTTGTTGTATGGGAGGCTTAGAATGCAGAATAAAAGGAACTCTTCTTTAGTTACAGGTTTTGTTGATTTTTGATGTTATTTTATTCTAAATTCATAGATTATTTTGAATTATTATTTTTGAGAATATCACTTGCCCAAAAGAAATTATAACAAGATGGCAGCCCTATATGGATATCTAGAATTATAGTAGCAGCCGTTGTTAGCCAGGCCAATAATATACTGGTTCAACTTTACAAAGCATTATCTTGAGAACTCTATCTGCCTTAATATCTTTGTGTTACATGATGGAACTTTCATCCATAGCCAATAAACAGAGACAGTTTCTTAATGAACTTGTTCATGAGCCTGTTGTGATTGCCATTTTATTAATGCGTTGCTTCAACATGCTTGAACATATTTTTTTTTCAACTTATGTATGCTTGCAGTATGTATGAAGTACAAGTCATGCAAGTATGTCACTTCAATTAAACAATATAATCCATTTATCGTAAGGTAATCTAAGGTTTGGTGTTCACATTCGATTTTCATAAAGAAAGAAAGCCTCATTGTACAAACTTGTTTTCACAAAAAAAATCACTGCTTTAATGTTATTAATGACTACAGAATGCGAAGGTCATGTATCTTTATAGGCATTCCGTAGTTCATGAAAAGGATTGGTAATTCTTTTTTATTTTTATTTTTTAAATATATATATTTTTTGTTTTGGTTGTACAGCCTGTATTTTTTCACATGAAATACCGATCTTGAGATAATAATATAAATAGCACCATTTTACTGGCAAAGGCCACATGTTAAGCTATTGGAATAAGTATTTTTCTCGTCACTTGTCATCCTACGATTAATCCTTGGTCTTGTTTATTTTAAGTCCACCTTAATTTGAAGCTCGTTTACTGTACTGGATGATTGCATATTGGCCCTAACTTGGTTAAGTAGGTTTGTCAGCATTGGCTTGTAAACCTAACTAAGTTTTGGCAGTTTTACACCCAACCACCTCCCAACTCTAAAGAATGAATCTCATAGAGAACCCATCAAGACCTGTGGCTTTATCCCCATTGCAGCTGTTCAATGCCTTCAACACTTCCTATTGAGAAAAAGGTATTTCCAACCTATCTCTATCCACCCCAGAAATTGAATCGAACTGAAGACCCTCAAGCAAAGGATGCCAACTTGATGCTTCGGAGAACAACTTCTGATAAAAAGACACGATCTCCCTACAAATTGATGTAAACCAATTCGTGCATTGGTATGGTGCTCAAAAAGACGATTGTCATAGATTTAAGTAAGATAGGATTTGCATTTACATATGTATCAAGGTTTTTTGAGTTGCGTTATGTCTTCTAATTGTTCTCTATGAAACAAAAGGTTAATTATAAAAAGAAAGGTTTCCTGTTCTCTTATAATAAAGAGAATATAGTTGGTTAGAATTTTCATGCTTCATATAGTTGCAAAAATATATACAATTTGGTGGATCCATATAACACCCCCAATGGGTATTCAGTAACTAATGCTTCACCATGATTCTATCATGCTAACAATGAAATTGGCAATGATTATGATTTCTTCATTGTTCTAAGAGATTGATTGGATCTCTTATATCCAAAGCCAATATTTTTAGCCACAAATAGTCAGCTTCTATGAGAATTCAAGCTTTGTTAGACCCTTAGGTTTCCCTAAATGTATAAGCCTTCTCGAGGATCTCAATTTTCATTAATCAATAATCATGCCTTAGATGACTAGTTCATTCATCCATAAAAATTAGATTCTGACATGTGAATCTGATGCAGAACAGCACTTGGAAGTCATATAAATAATGCCTACAAATGGTTTTATGGTGGCCTAAGGTTTTGAAAACCTTGTTTGTTTGGGGTTTTTAAAAGTAGAAAAATAGGGGAAGCTTTACTATTTGGAAGAGATTGGAATCAGATTGGTTTTTATAGTGTTAGGTATTTAGGTTGCAGGAATTTCAGGGATTTGATCTCTGGAAATTCTGTACTGCAAGTACTCTAGTAGGCTCTTTGGTGCTATATTGATGGCCAGAAAGGTAGGAGACATTATTGAGCTCACGCGAGAGAATGTTGGCCCGAATCATGAGAGCAATGTCCAAATAATGACAAACGTGGTGTATATCCGGTCCATGCTTCCTGACACACTTGCTTAGCGGGGAGCACACTGGGCAATGACCGTTTTTTAGAGATTCTGTGATGAAATTGGGTTTCTATGATGAAACGTGGACTATTTTTGGGACTGAATAGTAACCCATGAATGGTAATTAAAGAAAAGTGGAAATAAGATGTCTAAGACTATCACATAGAATTCTGTAGGACTAAGTCCCTAGAGTTACGTTGCATTACAAATAACACAACCTCAAATTCTAATTGATTAAGTCTATCATTGAAAAGTGTACCTATATTTTTGCAAAGTATTAGACTTTTCCTATCACCATGCTATACTAAAATAGGAAACTTTGACACTGACAATTTCAGACTATCCTAGGCTTAACAAAGACCACATAAAAGAGACCCAATATCGTAAGAAACAACTTGAACAAATGTAAGAGCCATGGACCACTATGCAAAACATGTTTAGCAGATTTGAATATCTTCAAATAAGCTTAATATAAAAAAAGTTAAATATAAATACACCAGTACTAAATTAATGTCATATAATAGTATAACAAGACTTGGCTCAATCAGAAACTTGATTTAGGAAGTGCTAAACGTGCTTCACCTAATATTCCCAGTTTGGCCCTTCTTGTTCAGATGCTTTTTATGATAAACAGTCAAAAAAAGGGAGACATTGTCTTGTGAAAAAGTGAGGGAGATATTTTACCCTAAACTGTGCAAGGAAATTTTGCACAATAGGCCATAAACAAGTACAGTTAAGTACTAATATTGCACAATAGGCCGTAAACAACGAGCAGTCAGAAACAGAAGAGATAAATGCCACAAATGATGGATTTGTTGGGCTAATGTCATAAAACTTTCTCCTACCATTAAAGGCTTGATGTACATGTGAAAAATCAAATTTGAGGCAAATGGGGGGCAATTGCCTGGTACGGTGGTAAACGTGTGGGCTGTTTGGCATGAGAATGCATCTTTATATCCTGATATCAGCTCCTTTGTGCAATTAATACCAAAGATAGTTCTAAAAATTAAAAGAAATTGTTAATGGTTGGAAAAGAGAAGGCAGATATAAAAGAAAGGAAAAAGAAGGAAAAGAGAGATGGTGTTAAGTGGTCTTCCAGACACCTTGATCATGAGTGGTGTTGTAGTTATGTGAATCAGCTAATACACTCTCATTGTTTTCTGGATAGAGTATAATTGTGAAAGGAAAAGGAGGAAGATGGTGTGGGTGGGTTCCTCGAGAGGGGTGTTCGAGGTCAAGTCCTTCTATTTTAGTATGGTGGATCTAACTGGCCCGCTTTTCCTTGGAAAGCTATTTGGAAGACAAAAACACCACTGAAGATGGCTTTTTTCTCGTGGACAGCTGCTTTGGGAAGCATCATCACTATTGATAATCTTAGAAGAAGAAGTCAAGTTGTGGTTAACAGGTGTAAGATGACGGGGGAATTTGTCAACCATCTTCTCATTCATTGCTCGGTGGCAAGGGATCTTTGGTCTTTGTTTCTGGTTGCATTTGGTATTCCATGGGTGTTCTTAGAATCGACGGTCGACTTGCTAGAGACTTGGAGATGGTGTACAGTGGAGAGCTGAGTTAGAGATGCTTGGAGGGGTACTCCCCTGTGTATATGGTGGGGTTTGTGGCGTGAGAGAAATTGGAGATACTTTGAGGGAGTGGAGTCTCCTATTTGGGCTCTTAGGTATAGTATACTTTCTTCTTTATTCTTTTGGGTAAATGGGCGGGATTGTATGTCAATGGTGGATTTTGTTGATAGCTTAAAGCTATAGTGTCATCATGGACAACGGTTGTCTTATTTGGGATTGCTCCCCTTTTGAGCGTTTTTAGGGTTCGAGCCTCAGTGGAGGCATGTGTGTGTGAGTACCAATTAGGAAAAAAAAAGAAATCTTTATTATCTATCAAAAAAAAAGAAAGAAGAAGTGATGGTGCAAACATTAAAATTACGTCATAACTATGGGATGGTACTGCTCTTAATGGAATGGAATACAAGTGGGAATGGAATGGAATGGAAATGGGAATGGAATGGAATGGTCATCCTCATTCTATTGTTTGGTTGCAAATATGAAATGTGTAGGAATAGAATGATAATAACTATTCTAGTGTTTGGTTGGACCAATTTAAAATTTAGAATGGAATTAATTTCAAATTAAATTCTGCGAAATACCCTTTTTACTAACAAATAAATTAAATTAACTGAATAACATTCTTCTGTAATTTTTTTAAAAGAAATGGCAGCAGTGGTGGATGGCTGTGGCAATGGTGGTGGTGGTGAAAAATGGTAGTGGTGTAGGTGCTGGTGTTGGAAGGTAGCAGTGGCGGTGGCGATGGTGGAAGGCAGCGGTGGTGGCAGCGGAATGCGGATTGGTGTTGGTGGAAGGCGGTGGCAATGGTGGAAGGCAGTGGCGCGGTGGTAGTGGTGATAGTGGAAGGAGATAGTGGTGATGGTGGTGGTGGTGGTGGTGGAAGGCAGTGGAGGTGGTGGTTGAAGGCGGTGCCAAAGGTGAAAGTCGGTGGCGGCAGTGGTGGTGGTGGTGGTGGTGGAAGGTATTGGAGGTAGTAGTGGCAGAAGGTGGTGGTGGAAGGAGGTGGTGGAAGTCGATGGCGGCGGTGGTGGTGGAAGGTGGCGATGGTAGAAGGCAGTGGTGGAAGGTGGTGGTGGTGGAAGGCGGTGGCGGTGGTGAAAGTTGGTAGTGGTGGTGGAAGGTAGTGAAGGTGACAGTGGTGGTGGAGGTGGCTGTGGCGGTGGAAGGCAATAGAGGGGGTGGTGGTGGTAGTGGAAGGTGATGGCAGTGGTGAAAGTCGGTTACAGCAGTGGTGGTGGTTGTGGAAGGCAGTGGTGGTGCCAAAAGTCGATGGTAAAGGCGGTGGTGGTAGTGGAAGTCGGTGGCGAAAGGCAGTGGCAGTGGTAGTAGCGATGGTGGTGGTAGTGGCGATGGAAGAAAGTAGAAGCGACAACTAAGTGGTGGTGGTGGAAGGCGGAGACAGTAGTGGTGGCGATGGCAATGACGGTGGTGGAAGGTGGCAATGGTGTAGGTGGTGGCGGTGGTGGTGACGGTGGTGGTGGTGACGACGGTGGCGGTAATGGTGACGGGTTGGGTAGTGGTGGAAGGTAGTGGCAATGGTGAAAGTTGGTGTTGGTGGTGGTGGTGGCGATGGTGGAGGTGGTGGTGGTGGTGGAGGCAGTGGTGTTGGTGGTGATGTTGGTGGTGGTTTTTGGGCTTGGAAGGGTTTTTTTGGGAAGTTGATTTTTTTAGGAAAAAAAAGATTACTTGGGAATGGAATGGCCATTCCATAGGTTTAGTGGCGGTGGTGGTGATGGTGGTGGTGGTGACGACGGTGGCGGTAATGGTGACGGGTTGGGTAGTGGTGGAAGGTAGTGGCAATGGTGGAAGTTGGTGTTGGTGGCGATGGTGGAGGTGGTGGTGGTGGTGGAGGCAGTGGTGTTGGTGGTGGTGTTGGTGGTGGTTTTTGGGCTTGGAAGGGTTTTTTTGGGAAGTTGATTTTTTTAGGAAAAAAAAGAGAATGGAATGGCCATTCCATAGGTTTAGTTGTGGAATGGATTTTCCTTCTCAGAAATGGATTTTCATTCCAATGGAATGACCATTCCCACTTTAAACTGCATACCAAACATAAGAATGGTTGGAATGGGCATTCCATTCCATTTTATTCCTGCACACCAAACGCAACATTACTGTCATGTGACTTCTAAAGTGAGGATTTGGGCATGCCCACGTCACAAGGCATTGCATATAACCAACTAAATTACTAAAATTATTATCATCAATGTACATTGTGGCGACCTTGTGGGTGGGTGTGTGTGAGCGTGTGCAAGTGACACTACCACACTGGGCGAGCTACTGGTGCACAATCTCACATCGCTTGGGTGTGGAAGGGGCAAATGCTATATGTAGATTCAATACCCTTCTATAACACACCATGTTTCAAAGCCGTGATGTCCGTGAGCTCACCAGAACTCCAGAGTTAAGCGTGCTTAACTTAGAGTAGTACCAGGATGGTTGACCCTTGGGAAGTCTCTAGTTTGGGAAAGTCAAAAGCGGACAATATTGTGTCTGGTTAGGGTAAGGGTCGTTACAAATGGTATCAGAGCCTAATCCAGTCGGAAGTGTGGCCAACGAGGACGTTGGGCCCCAAAGTAGGGAGGGTGATTGTGGTGAACTTGTGGGCGGGTATGTGTGAGCGTGTGCAAGTGGTACCAGTAGGTACACTGGGCAAGTTACAGGTGCACAATCCCACATCGCCTGGGTGTGGAAGGGGCAAGTGCTATATGTAGATTCAACACTCTTCTATGACACAATGCGTTTTAAAGCCATGATGGCCGTGAACCCACTAGAACTCCAGAGTTAACTGTGCTTAACTTGGAGTAGTACCATGATGGGTGACCCCTTGGGAAGTCTTTGGTCCGGGGGAGCCAAAAGCGGACAATAAAGCTACAAGAAAAAGAAAAAAAGAAAAAGAAAAGAAAAGAAGTGCATACCCAAAAGTAAGCCTGCTAGGTGGACATAAGCTACATCACTCTTGTACTAGTATTGCTGCCTATTGGGTGTAGAGATTATTTTCTCTATTTCCTTCCATTTTTCTCTTTTTTCGTTGATCCTTTCTTCTAGCATACGCTGAAGAATACACAACTCGTTACAACTATTATTTATCCAAATGTATTGTTTGCATTATGAGTTTTGCACTCTTCATGGATATGTTCTTGTTGTCTTTTTGGTTCTAAGAAGGTATTTGTCAACTTTTCTTTTGATAGTCTAAATTACTTTTTGTGAGTTAAGGTCTATGGTGCACTCAGAGTTGCTGTCAAGATGTTACTCATGTGGAACTCCAAAATCCAAATCGACGGTGGTGGAAATACTGTTGTTACTACCTCTATTCTTGAAGTCAGGAATCTCATTGTTTTAAGGGTACATTCATGTGGAACTCATCCATATATCTGATATTAAACAGTTGTTTCTTGGTAACAAATTATGAGGCATTAATTACAATTCTTCATCTTTGGCAGGAGAACTCTGTGATAAGTTCAAATACAAATTTGGCTGTATATGGTCAGGGACTTCTGAAGTTAACCGGTCGTGGTGATGCAATTAAAGGCCAGCGACTTTCCTTGTCACTATTTTATAACATTACTGTAAGATTTTTATTTACCACTATATGCTCTAAATGTGTAATTTTGATGTTTTTTAATTGATTCTGTCTGGAATCATCCATTTAATCGGGGTACTGTGTGGACCTTCCTTTTTACTGAAAAATGTTTTTTATTTGTCCGGTGCTGAATAAGTATCATAGAAAGGTTCCACAGTACCACCAGAGTGAAGTATGATGGGCTCTTTGGGGGTTTTGATGTATTATGTTGACGAGGACTAGAGAATTGAGGTGATAAGTTGTTTGGAAGATGAACAAATGCCAAGTTACTGTAATTTTCTGTTGTGTGCATTAGCCAAGAATTCATAGGCATAAATGTCATGAAATGCATGTGAAATGATATATGTAGTTCCACAAAAAGCTGAATAAGGTACTTCCCCTCCCCTCTAAAAAACTTACTTAAAAAAAATGATATTTGGATACATGAAAGAATGATATTTTGATTTATGTATCTCTCTATTTCTCTACTCAACTCTACAAAGCTTTTTTCCTAACTATTTGGGTTCGGCTGCAAAAATAATCTTCCATCATTCCGCTCTATTTAAGGGCATAAGTTCAATTAAACAAGTTATCTTATGTTTCCTAAGTATCTCAACTTACTTTAGTTTTGGTCTTCTCATTCCCCTAACACGCTAAATAAGGACTATATGACTTTTTCTCATCTGTGCAAATGTTATCCGTTGCTGCACATGGCCAAACCATCTAATCAAATCTCTCATTTCTATTTTTTCCTTTCCTTTTCTGCCTCACACCATCTCAGCATCTGGAATTTTGCCATATCTTATGGATAAGTTGTTTCTAAGCCACCTGACATTCTATGCCACAAAGGATTGATCTAGTAGATATTTTATAGAATTTACCTCTCAATTTTAGAGTATACGCCGTTTAATGCGTACAATTTGGTACTCTTCCATTTAATGCGTCGTTTTAATTTTATGATAGTTTGAAAAAGATCAGTTTGAATCATATATTCTGTTGTTAGAGGTTATTAAATATGTCTCTTTTTAAAAATAGGTTTCTGCTATCATAAGATTTTATGGTGCTCCGACTTTAATAATGCTTCCAAGTGTAGGATGTCGTGAAGTACTATAAGCTCGGTAAGTCCGAGGTCGAAAACAACAATTTACGGTGAAATAAAAGAGCAATTATTTATAAGGTTTCTGAATATTTTTACATTGATAGTAGAGAATTAAATTGAGTAAAAATAATTATATTTTAAAAGCACTAAGGTTTCTCAGATTCACACACAACAAATTCAGAGTATTTGCTAACGATTTTATTTTATCACTCAATTGAGACTTGTAGAAAATATGATCCCAATCAGAAGATATTGAAAGTTATTTTATTTTTTCAGAATATTTCTCAAAAGATGAATTCATAAAATTGATTATCGTTGACTGCGGGTACGGTGAATGCTTATGAAAACTTACATTAAAACCGTAGGAAATCGTTAAGCAAAAACCATATCGATGTTGTGGCTTTGTTCCTAGCCTTAACAAAAACGTTTCGCCACTAATAATAAAAATATAAAACTTAAAAATATGAGATAGTATGAACGAATAATCTGCTGGTCGGCTTTCTAATATAGAGATGATGTAGGGTTGTCTCCAAGAAAAAGAAAATTGGAAAGTGTGGAAAAGGAAATCTGCCAAAATCTGCCTTTCATATTTGCGTCGACTTGCAGCCCAATTTTGACCTTTTGGAATGCGTTTCATGAGTCTTTCTTAAATACAAAAATGATGGCGTTTCACTGAGGCTGGTGCATAACTTTTCTTCCAAATTGTTTCCATATTTGGATATGGAAGTTGCCTCCCTTTAATAAAAAGTCCCAGCATGAATTTTGCTTGCTAAAAACTCTTTTAAACCTCTTCTAGAATTCTCCATAAACGATCTCAGCACTTGGATCTCCTTCTGGGCTTGATCTTGTGCATTTCCTCTCCGTCGATCGATGTTGCTATTGGATCGATCGATATCGATTCTCTAATTTTTCTACAAAATAATTTTCCACGAATTAATTCACCATTTTAACCAAGAAAATATGTAACAATGAAGAATATGTATTTTCTTATATTTTGTATAAAATATGGGAATTGTAAAATAAATTGGATAATGCCAACTAAACCTATGAATATTATGCAATTTTAAGCTATTATCATATGGCATTGCAAAGTTTAGGATAGCCTCTGCAGCATTACTCCTATTCTGTGTCCACCATGCACCATTCCGTATTCTATCTCCGCAGCATTATTCCTATTCTCTGTGTCCACCATGCACCATTTCAATACCCTAAACAATCTTTTTCTACATCACTATTAAGTTTTTTTTCTGACAAGTTATTACTGTCATTCAGGTGTTCCTTGAATTAATTCATCCGTATGTTTCAAAATAGCGCTGTAATATATTTGTCTAGTCCTTCTTGGCTTGCATAAGCACTAATTCATTTCACAAAATATCCTACAGAGAACTTATATAAAAAAAAAAAAAAATTCCTATAGAGAAATGTTTTATTAATATTATCTCATCCCTTGTTCTATTAAAAGCAAATCATTTTGTTTTAAATTCTTATAAAATATTATGTAGATATTTTAATTTCCATATTTTCCACTCTTAACCACTTGGTTTCTTGTTGAAATAAAAGGAGATTTGGGTTGCAAGAATACTTGTTACTGGCTATGGGGTTCAAGCCAGCAGTAAGTTCTCTTGCGACCCAAATCTACCTTTTTTTTTTTATTATTTAAAATAAAAAATCTGTTAGGAACAGAATCCTGTAATTCCATAAATATGAGCATGATTTTTTTGGGAGACACCAGTACTCCACCAGTATCCTGCAGCTGCATGTTATTGTGGTTTTTTGCTTTTACCTTCTTATAGTTGTAACTTATAACTGATAACAGGTATCTGGAGCAATGTTTATTTTTATTTTTTAATCTCATATGTATTCTTTTATTTTTCTTCTGAAACATCATTACTAGCATAATAACGTGATGCGAAACAAAAACATTTCTCAACTCATGGTAATCTGGAACGTATTGGAATTTAATTCATATTTCTGTTTTTCAATCTGGCACTCTTTACTCTCCTGTATTCATGATTTGTTTGGGTGTGGTCTCACTTGATTTAGTTCTGCAGCTGCATGTTATTGTGGTTTTTTGCTTTTAACTTCTTATAGTTATAACTTATAACTGATAACAAGTATCTGCAGCAATGTTTATTTTTAGTTTTTAATCTCGTATGTATTCTGTTATATCTTCTTCTGAAGCATCATTACTAGCATAATAACGTGATGCGAAACAAAAACATTTCTCAACTCATGGTAATCTGGAACGTATTGGAATGTAATTCATATTTCCGTTTTTCAATCTGGCACTCTTTACTCTCCTGTATTCGTAATTTTTTTGATTTAGTTTATATTGCTCTGATCAAAGAAAATTTTCTTGTTTTATCAATTGTATACTTGTAATGCTGCTTTTATATTTTACAGTATTACATTTCTTGGGCTGTTAGTTTCAACTGTTTGACTTCACATCACACATGACAGGTTGGGCCAGGTTCTTTACTTCAAGCTCCATTGGATGATGATAAAAGTAGAAGCGTGTGAGTATAAAATTTGGTTCAATTTTGAAGAGCCCTGGGTGTTGTATTCATTTGGCTTCACAAGATATGGTCAATGTGAAAACATGATTTTTTTTTTTTTTTTTTTTTCTCGTTTGATAGGGCAACAAAACCCAGGTGTGAGAGTTCAACATGCCCAATCGATTTGATAACTCCACCAGATGATTGCCATGTTAATTATACGCTGTCATTTTCACTGCAAGTAAGAGACATTTAAGCCACCTCTTTATACACTGCCCAAAATGTCTTCAATTTATATATATCTATTGTAGGTTGGAGCTTAATTCTATCAGATAGAACTTATCCCCAAAGTGTTTTTAACCTTCTTTACCTTGAGAAAACTGTGAGCCATTACCCAAAGCTCTAATAAGTTAAGAGTACTCTCTGTGAATTAGACTATTTTATTTATTTATTATTATTTATTTTTATATGGAAAACCCTAGAAAGGAAAAAACCAAGTCGCCTAGTCCAGGCAGATCAAAATCCACTGTGTGAGAAATAAGTTACAACAAAGTTACCAGATTCTCCCTAGAATCACCTACTTCCTCCTTACTCGTACGCAAGATCACCTCTGATCCTTTAGTAGGTGATCTGTTGAAAGACGCTGATGCAATCCGCATTTCCATAGACATGAACTCCATGACTAGATAGATTCAATTCTGGTCCTTGCTTTGCTTCTCTCAATTACATATAATATGACAATCTTTGAAGAATCCTAGATTGATTCTCAAAGCTCCCTCTCTTTAAAATATAAATTCTCTCAATAATGTGGAAAGATTTAAAAGCTTATATTAGATACCTAGACCGACTATAAATGCTCAATTTTTCGTGCTCTTGCATCCTCTTCGGATAATTCGTCAGACCAAAGGATGGCTATAATGTCCTGAAGCTGGAGGAAGGTGAGGATGACGTCAAGTCTTCATGCCCCTTATGCCCTTGGATTTATGTCAGTGGATCAGTCCATTCGTTTGTAGAGCTATTTACTTGATCGCAGACATTTCTGGAACACTTCTAACGGAGGTACAAATAGTAAATCGTTGATAATACCCAGTATCTAGCTTGATGGAACCCATTGATTTGTGTATTTTGCAATGGGAAAAACGTAAAAGACTGGTCCATTTTGGTTGAAAATCCACATCTTGATAAAGAATTGACTTGAGGAAAAAGAAACGAAGTGGCTTAGACAAATCTTTTTTGTCGATAACCTTAGACCAATCAATTGAATATTGATTAATACGTATGAAAATAGATGGAGGGTGCCTGATCGAATTGATCAGGTTATGTAAGAACAAGGTTCAAGTCCTTTTTTCTGTCATTAAGATGGAGAACAGAACCAAGAATTTTCTTTCTAAAGATTCCCCTGGGGAAAAATAGAGATGTCTTCTATGTTACTCATAATATGTGGAAGTATTGACGTAATTTCATAGAGTCATTCGGTGTGTCTAATAGCTCCAAATAAATTAAATACATTTATCAAGATATGAAGGCTTCTTATTTCACAACAATGAAAGCACTTTTTCCAACTGCTGCTCCTCAATGCATTTCGGGGGGAACTACTAAGCAGAATATGGAGGTACTTACGGCAGAATGTGCCAATCAACAAGCACAATCCACGTGTTTGAGCTTATTCATGCGGTTATGCACTCTTTGAAGTTCAAGATCCCTCTTCATAACTGGAATCCTTTATGTTTTGTTTGGTTGGAAGGAAGGAGGAAGGATGGAATATGCTTCCATCGTTTGGTTGGAAGGATGGGAAGAGAGGGAGGAAGCAACACTTTTGTCTTTCCAAAATTGGACAGAAGAGAGGAGGGAATGAGAGAAGAACTGCTCCACTTTAGTATCATTTTTACCCAGTTAATTTTTTATATCTTGCTAATTTGGAATGAGTATTTGCTTTTTATTAGTTACTTTAGTTTATATAAAGGTGAATTACTCGGACCACCCTACGTGGCTTTGACTTGTGGAAACAGTTGGTCAACCTCCCTGAGGTTTGGTTTACTTTAGCCCCACTCCCTTGCCGTTAGTTGGCGGTTAGCCAGGTTAGAAGTCAGTTAAGATTGAAAAAGTGAAATGCCAACACTACCCTACCTTGTTGCCAAATGACCAAATAAGCCTTGCTCACTTTTTGAAAATACAATTTTAACCTTAATGTGTTGGACCTTTATACCCTCACACACAAACACCTAAACCCACTCCCCCTCTCTTTTTACCATTAATAGCTTAGGTTTAGTTATAAGGGGCAAATAAGTTATAATATTAATATTAGTCAATTACTAAATTTATTATAATGTGAATATTAATCATATTAACCTTACTGATATTCCTTTTTAAATTAAAATTTTACCAATTATTTTAAAATTACTCTTAATTAATATAGTTTCTCTCTCATCTCTTTACTTCTACCAAAAACATGAATTTCATGCAAAAGAAAAAGAAAAAATGAAAAACAAAAAGGAAAATTTCATTAACAAGAGGAAGAAACATTATGATCTGAAGGTAACAAATTAAGAAGCCACATGGGCCATACATTACATTGCAAGTCAATCAATTTCATTACACAATCTTGGACTCCAACGCAAGATGTATCCTGAAACTTTCTGCCATAAAGACTTCAAAATCTTCTAAAAGTAGCTTAGAGGAAGGATCCACTGCCTTCAATGTTATAACTGGTTTACCATCACCCTCCAGATCTAAGTCTCCATAGCGCCAACTTGATAAAAGTTGAACGGCTTCACGAAGCATAGTAGCTTCTGTTGCAGATGCAGAAGCTACATCAGTCCCCATCTAAAAATCCATACACCACATCATGCAGAGTGAGAGAGCAGTTGGAGTTTATAATTAATATCGCTGAAGATAGTCAGGTATTGAGTTGGATTTGGTTACGAATTAGGCCTTCAATTGGGTGAATTAGGATGAAAATTTTGATATTGTGAAATGGGGCTTGAATTGGGTTCATGGGATGGGAAATTTTGATGCTGTGACCTATTTGTCCATTTGACATCAGATCTTGTTCTTGCCAAAGGATTGACATATTCGAGAGAACCTATCATTAATGGATTCAATTGCTTTGTCGCGACGTTGGTAAAGCAGTGGAAGAAAACGCCGTCTTAACAGACCCAAAACTGCAGAGATTGCAATTAAGCATTTGGTCAAGCAAAATGTTGGAGGCTTTGATGCCCACAAGCGAACTCAGATACCCATCGTCGCCGCCACTGCTACCTTCTCTCCACCTTCCTCTACTACCTCACCTTGACATCTCCTCTGATGTTGTCCTCTGCTCCGTAACCGTTGTCGAATTCTGACACCGCGTCTCCTTTCAGACGAAGAGTGTTGATTGTCACAGAGAAAGGAACAAATAATATGTAAAGAGTGTAATCGTATCAGGGCAAAATCGTCCTATCATATGTTGGGTCTTTTGTGTCAGCATGACGCATATTACTTGTATAAATTGTTAACAGAACTAACAACTCTAAACTCTGACAGGGGTGTTAGAGTTATATTTCAAAAAATTTAATCCGTAGGTAATTAAAGCAAACCTCAGGAGTGGTCAGAGTAATCCACCCTTTATATAATTAGGGTATACTGGTAAAAAAATACAGAGTCTCTCCTTCCCTTCCTTCCAATCAAGCAAAGAAAGGTGTCTCCTCATCCATCTAGGGTTGTAATCGAGCCGAGTATTGGAGTGTTTAGGCTCGACTCGAAAAATCAACACACTTGTTCGAACTTGGTTCGAGTTCAATCGAGCCTAGCCCAGACGTGATCGAGCTTGGCTCAACAACTTTCAAAGAGGTTCTAGCTCGGCTAGACGAGCTCGATAAGATTCGAGCTTTGATGAGACCAGATTGAGCTCCAATGCTACAACTGTAGATCATCACGAGTTCACCCCAAAAGTCATCTTTCAACATTGTTTCAAATCTCAGAGCCAAAGAGAGGAGGGAAAGCTACCAGAAAGAGTTTTTTAGTCGACAACATGATTCGTCAGTTTTCTGGCTTAATGCGTCACTGGGTTGCAGGTACAGTCTTTATAGTCGCTGTTTGTAATCGCCAGCATGATTCATCGGATTTGCCGACTTGATGCGGGGTTTCAGGCGTTATCTTATCTTCTGCTTTCGCAAATAGGCTAGGGTTATTCAGATAGGGTTTTGTAGTTTATATAGTATACGAGAGTTGGGCTTGGGACCAATATAGTGTGGGCTTGGGTTGTTTTTATTTTAATGGGTTGTGCTGGTTGTTTTAGGTACTATCTTTAACTAATTGAAGGCCAAAAGTTATTTGCCTATTAGTATATGTAATTAATATAAATATTTATATTTTTATGTTTTCAAGCCGAGTAGATTATCAAGATTTTTCATGGATGCGTTCATGAACTAACGAGCTGAGCTAGGGGCTGTTTGAGATTGGCTCGTTTAATAATCGAGCTTACAAATTATGTTTGAGCTTGACTCGTTCATTGAACAAACGAACACGAATCGGGCTCTTAACGAGCCGCGCTTGAGCTGGTCGTCGAACGTTTGGTTCATTGACAGCCCTACATCCATCCTTTCTATTCAACCAAACAAAAAGTGAGGGAGACACCTTCCCTTCCCTTCTCCCTGCCATCCATTTTTCCAAGCTTCACTGACCTTTTTGGATTAAGCTAGATAGATCCTATTCCACCTTTTTTCAGATTGAAGGTATGTCAAGTCTTAGGTTGCTTCACATTAAGTTTGAGGCTTAAGCTAATGCTTCTGGATAGGGATATACAAGGGTCTTAGGTTATAGGGTTTCTCGTTGTCATATATTGAGTTTTCGCAATATTAAGAAGTTTGTCTGTGTGAAGATTCTGTAGTTATGTTTTGTTAAACGCCTTCTACTCTAAAAGCATAAGCTGATAGAGAGGGTGTAACTTTAATATTTAAATCCTTCAACATATTTCAATATTTACAATTTAAGCGTTTCCTCCACCTCTTTGTGTTCCTCAATATAGGATCGAAGTAAAACTAAATCAGGCTCTTGAAACCCTTCCCAATCAAACTCAAATCCTTATGTTGAAGAGAAATAAGTAGAAAGTCTTATCTAATATGATGAATTCGTTTATGTTGTCCTTGCTAGGTAATTTTAGATTACATAATATGATGAATTCGTTTATTGGGACAAGGATTTGTGGAGTTGAGTATAGTTGTTATTCACGCTTTCTATTTTCTCTTTCTTTCTTTTTTTTCTTTTTTTTTTTGGGCATCTTCAGCAAAACCAAGCTTTTTTTTTTTTTTTTTTTTTTTTGTTAGCTCTAGATTGAAGACATCCTATTTTGTTTGAGTGATTTATATTACTAGAATGTGCTTGCTTGGAGTTGAGAAATGCCAATTTAAAACCAAATAATCTTTTCATATAATTTTAAAATCCATGCTAATTATGATTCGGTGCTTACAATCACATCATGATCTTGATTGTTGGTCTGTATCTTTCTCCCAACCAACCTCTTGGGAATATTGAGCTCTTTCTTGGTTGCTGATGAGTAATTACTGAGAATATAACTATTGTTCCACGTTAGAGTTGATAGAGAAAAAAAAAAAAATTATAAATGGCCATTCTGAGCCCAAAAACAAATGTATGTAATTGGAAACCATTCATTTTTAATATGTTTTGGCTTATAGTTGATGCATTGTTTTTTGCTCTCATGGTTTTACTTTTGGCAGATTTGCCGAGTTGAGGATATTTTGGTGACTGGTCTCATTAGGGGAAGTATCATTCACATTCACAGGGCACGGACTGTCATTGTTGATTCTGATGGCATGATTACCGCATCAGAATTTGGTAATAATCTTCACACATTTGTTTTATGTTATCTCAGTGTTTTGGTCTCTTCAATGATTTCTCCGTATTTTGTTCTTCCATTTCTTCGCTCTAGCTTCTTTTTGTAGATGGCCTCATTATCCTATGTTAAGGGAGCTTTTAATTTATGAAAAAGTAGCATATAAAATTTTTGACTCAATTGAGACACCTTTCCAGGTTGCAGAAATGGTATTGGTAAAGGAAACTATTCGAATGGTGCTGGGGGTGGTGCTGGACATGGGGGAAGAGGGGGTTCAGGATTTTTCAAGGGGAGGGTGAGTGAGGGTGGTAACAGATATGGTAATGCTGAACTTCCTTGTGAGTTAGGAAGTGGAACTGAGGGCCCTAATGAGTCTTACGGACATGCGGCTGGAGGTGGAATGATTGGTAAGCATTTTCTCAGAATTCGCAAGTTTAAAAAAGGAGTAAAAAGGATGTTTATCATATGTATTTTTTCTGGGAGTATTATGTGTGAAAGTATTATCCTTTATTTTTTTGGGCATGTATGGTCATATAATGTGTATAAAGAAATATTAACGGGTTTTTTTAATATTTGTCACCTTAATGTTTGGTATGAGTGCTACCTTAAGTTATATATATATATATATATATATATATATATATATATATGTTGCTTTTGTAGTTACTATTTGGCACTTCTTTTTTCTTGAAAAATCTTTAATCTATGACCTTGCTCTTAATGCACCAACTGTTCTTGTGCTTTATCATGCTAAAATGATTTGATTGTGCTATATAATAGATAGAACTCTTTGTTGAGGATAGGGGGAGAACACTGACCTTAACACTATATGGATATGAATTCAAGGATGTTTGTGTACCTTGTTAGAGAGCTGGGTTATTGTGCTGTTAGATAGTTGGGTTATTGGGCCGTATTGTGTTAAGGGCATTTTTTGTCTTCTTGCTATATATATATATATAATTCTAGAGTGGTGTAGATTACTGATCAAGTTTGTGTAGATTACTGATCAAGTTTTTTTTCTACTCCACGATAATAATATCTTCTTGTTCTCTACCTCTTAACTCACAAACCCTACAACATAATCTCACAAACTTCAACTTGGTATTAGAGCCAAAGTTATCATGTTCAAATCTCACCATCACCCTAATTAAAAAATTGAAAAACACTTATTGAACCAAAAAGAAGCCCACACGTGAGGAAGAGTGTTGAAAGATTTATATATTAAAGTTACACCCTCTCTAATAGCGTAAACTTTTAGGGTAGATGGTATTTATATTAAAGCTTTTAGACTGTTATTGCTCGTTCTAGTGCTGAGGCTGAGTATCGTGCTATGGCTCACACCACTTCAGAGAAGTTGTGGGTCCGCTCTCTTCTTCAAGAGATCAGGCCACTATCTTTATTGCTAGCAATCCTGTTTTTTCACGAGCGCACCAAGCATATAGTGGTTGATGGCCATTTTATTCGTGATTTGCTGACACGGAAACAAGTTGTTACTCCCTATATTTGTTCTGATGATCAGCTGGATGATATTTTTACGAAGCCGTTAGCTCGTGGTGAATTTCAGCGATTGTGTTTCAAGCTGGGCATGTTGATTCTGTATGCTCCAGCTTGAGGGGGAGTTTTAGAGTTGGGTTATTGGGCTGTTAGAGTTGGATTATTGGGCGTTATTGTATTAAGGGAATTTTTGTCTTCTTGCTATTTATATATAATTATAGAGTGGTGTAGAATCTGATCAACTTTTTTTTCTACTCCACGATAATGGTATCTTCTTCTTCTTCTTCTTCCTATTGTTGGCATCCAGACTGTAATTTTGAAGAAGCAAGACATCCTCGTTTATAATCAGAACTACAAGCTTATTTTGCTTGGCTAAATTTATAATTTGGAGGCTTCAAATCCTCACATTATAATAGAAAGTTTTTTAATTATTCTTTGAAAAAAATATATTAATACTACTATTACTTTAATAGAATAAACTGATCAAGCAACAAAGAACCAGCAAGCCTTCTGTGGTCCTTTTGAGATAATTTTAAGACCTCTCTGCCTGTTTGAAGTTAAGAAGGTAGCAAGTGAAGCCAAACATATCCCATTAAATGGGTGAAAAAATTATATATAAATTGTTAAAGACTCCGGGAATATGTATCAAAACACATTGAATGGGTGAAAACTAATTATAAATTGTTAAAAAGTAGAAATAAGTTAATTGGAAATATGGATCAAATTATATGTATTAATGACAGACTGAAATATTAGTTAAGCAAATTTACATATTAACTAGATGGAAAAATTACCTTCAACAAGAAGTGGAAATTATTAAACTTAATATAGGAATGATGAATAAAATCGACAATATGGAATTAGAGGACACACTTCAAAAAGGTTATCAATAATAAAGTGGTTGGTCCTGATTGTTAACTTTGTGCAAATAAGAGAGAGAGAATGAAAGAAAAGAAAAAGGGAGAGAATTCTTTATTATTCAACAGAACATTATATCATACATAATACAATAATATAAGCCCTAAAGGTTGACAACTAATAGAAAACGGAAAAATACAACGCTACCCTTAACATAAACAAGATATATATTTTTTTGACAAGTAAAAAGATTCATATAAAGCGTTCCCCTTTTATAAACAAGATATCTCTAACACCCCCCTCCCCCCACTCATACTCATGATGTGATATTAAGAAGCATTGCGAGTTTGCTAAGAAGAAAAGGAAAATGAATAAGTCGGCCAACTGCATAGTAGAAGAAACAAATAATAAAGAATAGTGCCAAGCTGAAGGTGATGTCTCACGAAGTGACAATCAATCTCAATATGCTTGGTAAGCCCCTGAAAGACAGAATTATGTGCAATCTGAATGTTACTTTTTTTGTCACAAATCTGCACACAGCACACAAAGACCGCAGCCAAACTATCTCCTCTGTAGTAGCAGCCATAGCACGATACTCAACTTCAACAGTGGAGCAAGCAACAACTGTTTGCTTCTTGCTTTTCCGGGAAATGAGAGTCACCTAGAAAACACAGAAGCTAGAAGTTGACTTGTGAACAGTGGAATCACTAGCCCAGTCAGCGTCAGAAAAAGTTCTGAGTTCCAAAGTAGAGGTGAAAGACAACAGTGTAAACTCTGGTTTAAAGTTCCTCATGGAGGAATTACTTCTATATAATCTATTGCAACCAAGAAATAAACTTCATAACTTTCTTCAGCACCTCCTGGGGTGCTGAAAAATTACATTCCTAGCTGATATTGTTAAGTCTGGGTGGTGCTGGTACAGTAGAATGTTTGCTAATTTAACTGTTCAATAAAGCCTCTCTGTAGCATTTTCTCTAACCCAACAATCGATTATTGTCCTTGAACACCAGTGGTGAAACTAATCCTGCGTATTTTTTTTGTAAGTAAGATCTGACATAGAAAGCGTTCAAGTGGGGAACGCAACCCAAGAAACAAAAGAAGAGCCAAATTGGGCCCCTAATCTCTCAATGTGTCCAAAAATTCAACGATCTCCTCTAAGATTTACAATATCTCTCAGCAACCTAACAAAAAGGAAAACTAAGAACGGAAAATTTTAACACCCCAATAGGAGACTCTTCACCTTCAAAGGATCTCTTAGTGCGTTCTCTCCATAAGCACCACCAAAGGCACAAGGGAACCACTCTCCAAAAAACACGGGTTTGAGAGCCCACTAGACAACCTCGCCAAGCCTCAATCAACCCTAACGGAGTCCGAGACATTACCCAGTAAACCCCAATCAAAGACAAAATCAAACCCAACTGTCCTTAGCAACCGGGCAATGCAACAAAAGATGATCAACTGTCTCTTCATCTGCCTTGCACATAAAACACCAGTGGACAACAATCTGTCTCCTCCTCAAATTGTCACAGGTCAGAATCTTCCCCAACATTGCCGTCCAACAAAAGAAGGCCACCTTAAGGGGGGCCTTAGCACGCCACACAGCCTTGCAAGGAAAAATGATGCAAATAATAATTAATATTCTTAGAAAGTGTCTAGTCAAAGTTTAAAGTAGTAATTATGATATGGGAATCTGGAAATGTTATGGGAATAGTAGAAGTCATCATTAATGTTTTTTGGGTAGTTTGAAAGTCAGTCTAGGAAAAAGTGTCATTAATACTTGTCTTATAAAACGGACAGCCCTATGTATCTGTTGAACCAAGTCATAAGCAATATCAATTTGAGTTATTTCAGAGTATAAACTTTTCTTAAGGATTTTCTCAGTTTTCCCTTCAGAAATCTAGGCTCCAACGGTGATTGGTGTAACCCTAGTCTTCCTTACTGTTGTAAGAAGATTTGTGTGTGTTTTTCTCTTTGCTTCAAAAAGCTTCCCCTGAATTTGAAATCTTCCCAAGGAAGGAACGAACATCAAACCTCCCCTGAGGAAAAGGAGTCCATACCAATTAGTCAGCCTGCCTCACATCAACCTCCTAGTGGTACAACACAGACAGCAACTCCAGATCGTCATCAAGCTCCCAATCTTGAAAATACCTCACAAAGCGCACATCCCAGGTCAACCTCCCACCATCAAGGTGATAGTAGAAGCAACCATAGCATGTTTATCCGAAGCAATCCTAAAGAGCTTGGGAAAAATGCATGCTTATGTACGATTCCCACACCGTCCTCTCAGTATCGGATGAAAGTGCCTCCTCGAAGCTTGAATCTAATGTGTTTAGAAAGTCTATCCCACACCTTCCTGATGAATTTCCAAACACCCACCCCGCCTGAGATCATCACCTCAGAGGGACACCCACCCTCTCCTCCCCGAATTTCTGGACAATGACTCTCCGCCATAGTCTGTTCTCTGCACCCCGAATCTCATAAGCCACTTGCCCGAAAGCCTTGTTAAAAGGCTCCAACCTTCTAATCCCCAGACTGCCAACCTGAATCGGCCTACAAACATGCTCCACCGGACAAGATGATACTTGAACTCCTCCCCCAAACCACTCCAAAGAAAGTTCCGTTGAAGGCTCTTAATCCTCGTAGCCACGAAGGAGGGAATCTGAAAGAGAGAGAAAATAGGTAGGCAGACTCAATAGCGTGCTCTTCAAAAGGGTAATCTTGCATCCCTTCGAGAGATAACTGCTTCTTCCTCCCTGCCAACCTCCTCTCAACCCTCTCAACAACTGGGTCCCAACCACCAACTAGTTGACCTTGAGGTTCTTAGTGCTTGTGAATGGTGCTCCGGCTGGTTTCTTCAGGAGTTCGTGAGGTTTGAGGCAGGGAGATCCTCTATCCCCTTTTCTGTTTATCATCGCGAAGGAGTTTCTCAGTAAGTTGTTGAGGAGGGCAGTGGATTTGGGCTCCATTAGAGGTTTTAGGGTGGGTAGACACCAGCTCAATCAACTGGAGGTATCCCACTTGCTATTTCCTATAGACACCTTAGTGCTTTTTGATGTGGATGAGCATTTGCGGTGTGTCTTGGTTTGCTTTCAGGTTGTCTCAGATCTGAAAGTGAATGTCGGGAAAAGCGTGTTGGTTCCGGTGGGAGAGGTTGCGGATATCTGTCTTTTGGCTGATACTCTGGGGTGCGGTGTTGAGCACTTCCCTATTTCATACTTGGGGTTGCCATTAGGGACAAGAAAAGAAAAGGTGATATTGAGTTTCTTGGATGATTGCAATGAATTAATCTTTTTTTTAGTTTGAGCTCCAAAGAGGAAGCAAAGTATTTGGCTAGTGTGGGAAGGAGCTAGCCTTAAATGCCTCATATTTCTTGGGGTTGGCTGTATCATGTTAGTTAGAAACAAATGAATATCTGGTGGAATAATTTAACCACCTCACACTACATACCATGTCTTGTAATATTTTAAATCCTCAAATATGTTCTTAAAGATAATGTTTCAGCTAATGTCACAATTGAACTTCAACTTATTCTTAGCTGCTGAAAAGACCTCTACATATTGAAATCATGACATAATTTGTTTCCATTGCACATATAATCACTATTCACCAAGTCTAATAGTGGAGGTAATTTGTATTTGTGATATAAAAAGGCTTTACTGATTGGTAAATGCATTATAGATACACACACACATGTTCTTATATTTATGCAATGTAAAAGATTGAGGTCTTGTAATGATAGAAACCATCCAAATTTGTATTTTTATGTGTGTAATTGCCCAAGTAGTACGAGCTCTCCTCCTAAAAGGGGTGGTGAGCTGTTTGAGCCCCACATATGGCAGTGTGTGAGTGCTGCTTACCTACTAAAAATAAAATTATATAAGTTTTCAATATGTTTCTTATGAACTAGGGATGCTTCTTGAAATATATAGATGCTAAGAAACAAACATTAACAATTAATTTTTTTCTCCATAAATGATTTTATCTCAGTTCCGTTTTAACATAGACATCATAACCAAGTGAGAATAACAGATCTCTATGCTTTGTGTGTACTAGTGATGGGATCCATTCAGTGGCCACTTTCAAGGGTTGTTATGTATGGATCTATGGTGGCTGATGGTCAAAGCTATAGTCGAGCAACAAGAAACAGTAATGGAACTTTGATAGGCGGACTTGGTGGAGGTTCTGGCGGGACTATTCTTCTTTTTCTTCAAGCACTTGCCATTTTGGAGAACTCCTCCCTATCTGTTTCTGGGGGCCATGGTGGTCCTCTTGGTGGTGGTGGGGGCGGTGGTGGAAGAGTGCATTTTCACTGGTCTAAGATAGGTATGGGCAACGAGTATGTACCTCTTGCAGCTGTAAATGGTACCATCAACAGTAGGTATGCCTAATAGTCCTGATATATTCCATATAAGCTTTGCATGTAGCAGCAACAAACGTGGTGAATATCTTGATCTCTTTCTTCATTGTAGTATAACCATAAATGTAATTTCTTTTGGTTAGTTGCACTTGAAAAACTCTAGATTTTATTTCTGTATCATGCAACCTGCTCTTCTAACAGTTCCATTTGAATTTCTTTTAGGCTTTTGTATGATTTTCCTTCACTTATCTATACCCAAATGATTGCTACTTTTTTATTTATTATAATACCCTCAGGGTCTTATTTTGCCTGCAATTACTCCTGATACAGGAGTGATTTCATATTAGTTCTCTTCCATTTTAAAGGGATTGTTTGTGGTTTGTGCCATTTATGAATAAATACTTCCTAACTTTCTCCTCTACCTGCAATATTTCGCTGGTACTTTTAATAATTGTTTTTTCTTCTAAAAAGTCTATTGCCTCTTGCTTTTGTGGAAATTTACTCCTTCGCTGATCCATTCATTTTTGTGCTCATCCCTTCTAATCTATTCTTTAATTATGCTTCTGTATTTTACCGTCACTTCTATTTCTACAAACCTGACACCTGAAATAGGGTACTAGAGATCACTCAAAGATGGTAATATTGAACTGGTTCCTCTTCTTTTTGTAACATATGTTGCAATGTTTTGGTCAATCCATTTTTACTTGAAAATACCCTCACTTTCATTGAGATGGTGTGAATAATTAAATTATGTAAAAAAAAAAAAATTTGTTCGATTTATTAATTATAAAAAAATCATAAGTTGGGTGCTACATTGCTTTGCTCCTCTCTCTCTCTCTCTCTCTCTCTCTCTCTCTCTCTCTCTCTCTCAATCTCCCGAAACAGAATTTTTACTCTCTCCAGAACAAGAATTTTTAGTATATGTTTTGGTAAATCAATTGATAAATACATTAGTGGACTGTGGGATAACATATATTTTAGTAGTACACATTATTTTACAGTTCCGCTTAATTAAAATGATTTTGGGATGGAAAAAGAGTCATGTTAAAAGGCAGTACTCTATAACTTTTGCATTACGAGGTCAGAATTTCACTCAGTCAGTTAAGTTCTATAGATAGCATACATGTTTTTTTCTATTTACTTGTTCCTGCACAAGGCACATGCAATGTCTTCCCGCCCCTGTACAAATTATTTTTATGTCTGAATTTAACAACATATAATGCATATTCATATTTGAATCTCTGATGTTATTGTCATGCCCAAGCCAAATTTTCACTTATTCTTTAACAAGATACATCACAAACAAACCTTGTTATATAAATATTTTTATTTCATATCAGTTTATTACATATCTAATGAAATCTGACAGTGGGGGTTCTGGGGATGATGGCGGTCTTCATGGAGAGGAAGGCACAGTTACAGGAAAGAAATGCCCTAAGGGTCTCTACGGTACATATTGCGAGGTATGTTTGGTTTGTCTTTCCTTTTTATATTGTCTTTAAAAAAAATAGCTGTCTATATGTCTCATATTTTTCTAGTAAATACATGAATATAATTTGCATAATGTCTTAAGGTACGGACAAATTACATGTTTCTTCATATGTTAGCCTAATTGTTGCCTTGTGCCAACAGTAGTTTGAACATTATGTGCTAAATTGAATAGAACTGAATGCCTGTGTCAATGTACTATTTGTACAGGAATGCCCTATTGGCACTTACAAAGATGTTGAAGGCTCTGATGCATGTCTTTGCACTCCTTGTCCACTTGAGTTACTTCCTAACCGTGCAAATTTCATATATGTAAGAGGTAATTCTAATGGGCGTGCTTTGAATTCTCCATTAGCATTCTTGGCTGGTTGTCCCTTCCTCTTTTTTTGGGATTAATAATTTTATCCATTATCTCACATGTGGATGCAGGTGGAGTTACTCAACCGTCTTGTCCCTATAAATGTATATCTGACATATACAGGATGCCAAATTGCTATACACCATTTGAGGAGCTCATATATACATTTGGAGGGCCATGGCCTTTTGCATTACTGTTATCATGCGTTTTGGTGCTTCTAGGTCTGTTGCTAAGTACTTTGCGGATCAAACTGGTTGGATCTAGCTCTTCTTATCAAACTGCGAATTCAGTTGAACACCACAGTCATCACCGTCTCCCTTCTCTTCTGTCCTTATCAGAGGTACACTAGTGTTGTTAAACATCCCTGGTTTCAACTTGTGCTGTTGCCTGTTTGATGCAGGTTCAATATGTTTTGACACCATTTTGTACATTACAATTACTCAATTCCCAGGTACGGGGAACCAGAGCTGAAGAAACCCAAAGCCATGTTCACAGAATGTACTTTATGGGACCCAATAACTTCAGAGAACCTTGGCATCTTCCATACTCTCCTCCCAGTGCAATTATTGAGCTTGTGTAAGAAAACACTCAATTTTGAATGTCCTTTAATAATGGCAAAATTCAATGCTGTTGTAGAGTAAGACTTTTTGGTTTGTTATATTAGATTTCATCACTTTGCTTTTTCATTTTCTGTTGCTGGTTGGTTGGATGGAACATGCCAAGAAGATAAGTTGAAATCAATCACTGAAAATACTTGTCTTCACCGTGTTTTGACCATATATTGAACTTAAACTAATATCTTTATTAATCATTTACATTGAATTCTTCTTTCGTTGGTGTTATTATATTGCAAGGACCGTAAACCAAGTCTCTGACAGATCATAGCATGAGCAATGCTTTAGACCTAGAGGGAGAAATGAATTGGTCCTACAGATATTAATTTTAAATTTCAGTTATTTTTAAGTAGTTATGCTGATTATGATTTGAATTCTAGTTTGTACCTGTTTGTTTTTTGATTCAATCATCACATGCATAACCACGAGTTTATAAAAATCAAAGCAAGAGCAGAGACAAATTTTGTTTGTGGAACACTCTAGACAAGAAAAAACCACGGGACTTTGTCTAGTAAAGAACAATTTCCTATATGAGCAAAAGAAGTTACAACTAGAGTAACAGTTCCCACATCTACCTCTTGTCTTTAATGGTTGTACTAATATGACTAATGACACTTTGATACATTACGACCAGAGTTTTGAGGACATAGCCAACACATGACTTTTATTTCAAACAGTTGCCTTTGAATTTTCAGAAGTCCTCATTGTCCCCAATTTTCTACTGGGCTGGTCATTGTTTGAAGGACTTTCTTATGCAGCATAGCAATTGAACAATCATCAACTTGTTCCATCTCATCATTTGTCATTTTTCTCTTATAATGTGTAAACTATTTTGAGTTGCAGATATGAAGATGCTTTTAACAGATTTATTGATGAGATTAACTCTGTTGCTGCATATGACTGGTGGGAAGGGTCAGTTCACAGCATACTCTCAGTGCTTGCATATCCTTGTGCCTGGTCATGGAAACAATGGCGAAGGAGAAATAAAATTCATCGCCTTCAGGACTATGTGAAGTCTGAATACGATCATTCTTGCCTGCGCTCCTGTCGATCACGAGCTCTGTACAAAGGAATGAAGGTTTGATTCATTGACTTGTATTACTATAGGGCCATTGTCGTCCAATATTTAAATCCGTCTCACATGACATTTACATCTTTATTATGATATATTTATTCATTTATTTTTGATGAGTCCGACAATACTTCATATTAGGCTATGCCTATAGAAACCTCAGCTGAAGTTTCCAAGGTCAATATCATCGTTATTAAATTAATTCTGATTTTTGTTAGGATTAAATTGAATTTTGAGTTCAGTCCAACCATAGTAATAAGCAAATTTGAAGACTTTTTGCTTGGGAGAAATGCAATTGAAAATACCCAAAACTTTATTTCTCAAAAGTACTCGAGTTCCTCCAAAGCACATATGGTTTCGTTAAATTCCAAAACTGATAGAATCTTCATCTTTCTCAGACATGACTACCAATCAACTAATGCTTGAACAAAGAAGGAACACAACAACCGTCCAAAAAGCAAAAACAGAAGCTTTAGTAAACCAAAAAAATTTCTCAACCAGTAACACAAATCCCCTTCCCAAATCATTTCTGGCATTGATGAAGTGCAAACCAGAAAATACAGTAGCCAAATATGCATGAATTGTAGCTAAAATGGTTAGCGGCACCTCAAATATCAGCAAAAAAACTTCAAAACGAAGTCAGCTTTCAACGAAGCTTCAAAGCAACACTCAAAGGGCTTAGGCGCACCCTAGGGGATTGATTTGAACCCCCACAAAATAAAAAAAATAAAAAAAATCTAGAATAAGATTGCAATTCGCGAAATCAGTCACAAAATTCTGAAAATAATTTAAAAATAGAAAAGGTCTATCAAATGGCCTTAAATGTCAAAAAAAAACACCATATTTAAAAAATAATAATAAAAATCAGTCTAGCCGATCCATGTGTTTTCGCTTTGTTTCGACCATACGGGTGCTAATCTCAGCTTTTCCCCTGTTGATGAAGTCAGTACTCTCCTAGGCTACTCTGGTGTATTTTTGACTCCTTTAAAGGTTTCAGGACTTTGATTGGTGGCTCTGATACCAAGTTGAAATACAACATTTATTGTGTTTTTGGTCCTGGGTGTTTAGGGTTTGAAGGAAGGGAAATAATGAATGACAAAAAATTTAAAGAAGGGTTGTAGAATGTTTCTGTCATCTCGATCCCCACATATTTATATTAGTGATGAGTAAAATTTACAATAATATTGCAGCAGGTAATTTTACGATAATGACACTCGTTGTAATATTCATCACACCATACGGGGGAAGAACTTCTACGGGACTAGCTGACTATGCCCTCAATTTTTGAAAATTCTACATGCCCTCTCGTAATATTTTTCAAAATTCTATATAAGTTCTAAGAATTTAACGACGGCCCACACAAAATTAATAGTTTTATAATGTGGGCCCCTTCAAAAAACCAAGAACCTCTTCAAATTTTCTTAACACCCACATGTTTCCCAATCACATTTTGGCATTTACCTATGCTGGCGGTGAATGTTAAACCAGAACCCATACTGCATCAATTAGGTCAATCTATGTTGTCAGGGGCTTATTTGTTGTTACTTATATAATGTTTGTGCTTATGTGTAATTTATGAAACTTATTATTATAAATATAATGTGGTGGAAGGATGAAATGATTCTTTCATTCTTTTTCTCTTTCCCCATATCTCTGTCTCTTTTTCTCTCATCCTCTTTCTTCTCTTTTTCTCCTTATACTTTACTCTTTGATTAGATTATCTCTTAAAGTCAACATGGAATCAGAAAGGTTTGTAAAGCTCTAGGTGTGTAGTTAACCTATAGCAAGTTTGTGTAAACCCTAATGGGTGTGAAAGGTTTTGAAAAGATTCCAAGGTGGGATTTGTTTGCAAGGAAGTAGTGTTAATCACATCCGCATGTACCGCGGATCCAAATGTAGGGTTTTGGACCTGTTTTTGATCTATTGCAGTCTCGATTGGTGTTTTTCCCGTGTTCGTGAGGTTCTGCAACATTGACTTTTTCTTCGTCGTTTGCGATTCTGGTATGGTATACTTTGTTGCTTTCTAGGGTTTGTGTAGTGACTGTGTGGTCGCTTTTTTATTCATCTCAGAAGACGGTAATCTTTTTAGTTGAAGTTTGTGTGTTAAAGAGGTGGTTCTCTACGTATTTTGTTGATTTTTTTGTTTCTGAGGATTAATATCCAAAAATTGTTTAATGAAATGTCCGGCTCATATGTGACTTTAGTATTGGGAGGTAATGGTGATTACCATCTAAACCTTTGTATTATGACTGTTCGGCTGGATGAGACGAACTATATGGAATGGGCTCAATTTGCTCGTATGCATATCACTGGTCGTAGGATGATCGACCATATTGAAGGGATTGTCACGTATCCCTCCAAGAGTGATCCCGAATTCAAAGAGTGGAGTGCAAATAATGCACTAGTTATGACGTGGTTGTTGCAGTTAATGCAGCCACAGATCATTTAAGGGTTTCTGTTTGTGAAAACAGCTAAAGAGCTATGGCAGGCTGTAAAAGAGACGTATTCTTCGGTTGGTAATTTTGCAAGACAATATGAATTCCAACAACATATATCAAGATTTAAGCAAGAATACCAAACTCTTGCTACATATTATCACACTTTATGTGGTAAATAGGAAGAGTTAGATCACTACCAAGACTACATACCTATGTGTGCTGTTGATCTTAAAGCATTTTGTGCTATGGTAGAAAGGAATTGAATCTGAGTTCTTGGTTGGTCTGCATCTGAGATACGAGCATGCCAGGGTACAAGTGTTAGGCAGGTATCCAACCCTTACTTCTGTTAGAGATGTGTTTTCGTATATCCAAGCTTGAGTTAGAAGTACCATTATCTGAGAGTTCTGCTCTTGCCACACTACAATGGAACAAATCCAATCCTCCAAAAGGAGGGAAGCAGGATGACAAGAGCAAGTTGAGGTGTAATCACTGTGGGCGTACGCGCCACACTAGGGAAACATGCTGGAATCTACACGGTCGCCCTACTCCAGCTCCTGCACATGCGAATTCTAGGCCAAGTCCTGGTCCATCTTGGGGGTTATCTATGCACATGCGAATGCTAGGCCATGGAAACTGCGTATTTCTCCCACATTCTTCGGCGTAGGCCACTCCCGAATGGCCCTCATCTTCTCCTCATCTACCCAGATGCCATGAGGAATACTAGGCTTGGGGTCACAAAGCTACACTTCTTCATATTAATGAACAGTTTATTCTTCAGTAAAGCTGTTAATACCTCTCTCAAGTGCAAAAGGTGTTCTGCCTCTGTTTGACTATAAACCAAAATATCGTCGAAATAAACAACTACCAATCAAGCAATAAATGGTTTGAGTACCTGATTCATCAACCGCATGAAAGTACTTGGCGTGTTAGATAATCCGAGTGGCATGACTAACCACTCATATAGTCCTTTTGTCTTAAACGCCATTTTCCACTCATCCCTAGGGCGGATTCTAATCTGATGGTATCCACTCTTGAGGTCCACTTTGGTGAAGGCTTTCAATCCCGCCAACATATCCAGCATATTATCCAGTCGTGGAATAGGAAATCTGTACTTGACAGTGATTCTGTTAATTGTGTGACTATCAACGCACATTCTCCAACTGCCACCTTTCTTTGGTACTAGGAAGGTCGGAACAACACATGGGCTCATGCTCTCCTGAATTAACCCTTTCTATAGTAACTCTTCCACTTGCTCTTGTAAGATCTGACTCTCGTTGGGACTCATCCGGTAATGTGGTAGATTTGGTAGGCTCGCCCCGGTCACCAAGTCAATGTGGTGCTGAATGTCCCTCATGGGAGGGAGACTATCAGGCAAGTCTTCCGGCACCAACTCACTAAACTCTTGGGCTACGTTTGGTGTCCAGGAATGGAATGGAATGCAACTTGGAATGGAATGAGAATGAGAACGGAATGGAATAAGTATTCTCATTTCATTGTTTGGTATGACACGGTGAATCGTTATGGAATGGAATGATTATTACCATTCTATTGTTTGGTTGACAATCATTAAATCTGGAATGGAATGATTTTTTTCAAAAATACCCTTTTCATTGGCTTACATTACTTTTTAATAAAATCAATCTAATTAATATTCTGACGAAGAATTATGGGATGTTATAAGATGCCCAGTATTGCCATTGAAAAAAAAAAAAAAAAAAAATATTAAAATAAAATAAAATATTATTTTTAATGAGATGTTAATCTTAATAAATGACTGCAAAAGGGAAAATATCTGAATTCCCAAAAGATGCAAACACAAAACCTTAGCCACTTCCTAGCCCCATGGTCACAATAGTGTTCTAGAATTGGCTTTAAATCTTGGACAGATTCAAGTTTTACAACTAAACCAATCCACTATGATTGAAGACACACAAATAAATTTGTCGGTACAATTTTATCCAAAACGGGTTGAATACTTAACCTAAGAAGCTGATGTAAAGGCTAATATATATATATATACTATGGTTGAAGGTCCTACACCTTTTTGTCAATGGCAGCCCTGGGTATATTCAGAAGAGAAGGAAGGCGAAAGACCTTTACCACGTCTAATAAAGAAGCTCGAGAAACGTGAAAAATAGAATGTGAAAGATTTTTTGTCTATGTGAAGGATTTTTGCCTATTATTGGAATGTGATGAAGGACTTATTGGGAATATTACAAAAATATTTAATCTTACTATGGAATGGAATGGATTTTCATTCCAATGGAATGGTCATTCCATTACATTCCTACACACCAAACAAATGAATGGTTGGAATGGGCATTCCATTCCATTCCATTCCATTCCTGCACACCAAACGTAGCATTGCAGTAATGTCTGCACTATTTTTGGTACTGTAAAAGGAGGTTGTTCTACCACTTCCCCCTTGCACACAACAACTAAGATTTCAGGGGCAGTTGTTACTTCGCCTAGAATTGCCTCACTGTTAACTGAATTTCCTTTGGGAAATTCGGCTTCTTTCGGCGGACCCAAAACAATCTTTAGACCATTCATGTATAGAATATACACATTCTACCACGGTGAGTGGCATCGGCATCAAATTGCCATAGTCCGCCCAATATCATATGGCATGCATCCATGTCAACTACATCACAACACACCTCCTCTGCATATGCTTACCCAATTGAGAATGGAACGATGCAAGTTTCAGTTACTCGCGTTTCTAAGCCTTTCTTAATCCATCCAATTTTGTATGGATGGAGATGTTTCTCTGTTTTAAGCCCCAATTTTTGATCCATGGTTAAGGAAACAATGTTCTCACTACTGCCGCTATCAATAATAACGTCATCTACCTTATAATTGACAGTACAACGTGTACGGAACACATTATGACGTTGCAGGTGCTCCTCCTTCTTTGGTGTGAACATCAACCTCCTTACGACTAAAGAGTGGGACAACAACTCGCCATTTTCTCCTTCAGTCACCTGTTCTTCTTCAAAGGTAAGGAACTATCCTTCCTCATGCTCGACCAGATTTACTATCGGTCGTTTGGGGCAATTGTTGGATTTATGGCCAGGTTCTCCACATCGAAAACACTTGCCCATACTTAGGTGTGCATAGGGATTTTCTCTCACAGCTGGGGCTCCCTTTCCAGTAGGCTTATGGGTGCGGCGGGTTTGGCCTTTGTTGGACCATCTCCAATGCCTCGTTATGTCATTGGAACAGGGGCTACCGCGGTTTGTTTACCCATGTCATGTGTAGGATGTGGGATATTATATGAACCATGAGACCTATTCTTCGACTTCTCCAGTAACGCTTTTGCTTTCTCTGCCACCGTGACATTCTCAGACAGTTTGAATAGCGGTTGCAGCGCCACTTTCTATTCAATATCCCATCGTAACCCGCCTTTGAAACGGGCCACCATGCTAAATTCGGGTTCCACCAGGTTGTTACTGGATGACAACCAATAAAATTCTTTAGCATAATCAACAATCATTCTACTTCCTTGTGTGCAGGATTGATATTTCTGAAAAAGAACCTACTCGTAATCAGGGGGTAAAAATCAAGCTTTCATCAACTTCTTCATCTTAACCCATGTACATACCGGATCTTTATCCTCGCATGCGCGGGTAGTTTTCACTTGATCCCACCATGCTGATGCGTCGCCTTTCAACTTATAGTCCACGAGTTTGACTTGCTTCTCCTCCTGGATTTTCATATAGTCAAAGAAACGTTCAACCTCACGAATCTAGTCCAAGAATTCTTCAATACGAAGATGACCTTGAAAGTTGGGTAGGTCAATCTTCATATGAAAATCCTTGGAATCATCAATTTCCCATTGACCTCGATTATCTCCAAACACCTGTATGGATCGATTGTTACCAAAACCAACATTTTCCTGATAGGCTGGTTGTCGATTCAGTGGGTTTGGGTTGTGATTACTAGTAGGACGTCCATGATCACCGTCGTTGAGCAACTTCTTGTTCTCGCGGTTAAGTTCTACCATTGTCAATCTTGTCAATACTTGACGCATAGTTTCATGCATTTCAAGTAAGGTTCGATTAATGTTGGTCTGGAACTCAGTAAACTCGGCCCTCAAAAGAGCTACTCTATCACGATCACCGTCGCTGGAGGGGTTGGTTCCATCTGGTGCACCGGCCATCGAAACAAAGGCGAATCTTGGATTCGAAATGTTGCTCTGATACCAACTATCGTAGCAGAAACAATAAAGAACATGGTTAAGCCTTGTAATTCACAAAGAACACACATGTGAGAAACTGAAATTATATTGATAATAATGATGTCTGCAGACTTACATCTCTTGCCTTTATATAGGTAAGTCAAAAATAAAATAAAAAAAGAAAGCATGTGTGAAATAATATTAAAGGGGAAATCTAAGATTTGATGGAACAGAATCCTCTTTAAATCTTGCAATGGAGAATAATATCTTCTATTGTTGACAACTATACCAAATCTTCTTATTTATTTTCTGAATCCTCCTTAATTCTTGCAATGGAGAATAATATCTTCTATTGTTGGCAACTACACCAATTCTCCTTTTGAATTTTCCTTATTTATTTATTTTTTTCTTCTATTCTCCTTACCTTTTCAGTCTCCCTGATTTGTGATGATCCTGTATGCTCAGATAATCGTGAGCGAGTTCTACATCACTTCTCTTTTATACACTCTTCTTGTATCTTCTTTGAATTATTTTATTTGCATAAGATCTTTTGTACTTGCAGTATTGAGCCTTAATATACAATTTTTCTTTCGTCATCAACTTTCCATTTAATAGTATTGGTTTCCCAATTGTTTTTCTTACTATAGGCTCAATCTTGAAAAACTTATTTGAATAGCCTACAATAATGAAATGAGATGGAGGATAAGTATATAGCAAATTACCTAGTTGTCAACATTGAAAAATAAATTTATGAGAATTTCAGTTCAAATTATAATAGATGATTTTTTAATAGATATTTAATCGATTTTTTTTCTTCATTTTTTTACATATATTAACTAGATATATGACAAAGTTAATTATTTTTTATCAATTTTGTGTGTACCTATGATTAACTTAGCAAGATCTATGTTCGTTTGAATGAATTTAATAGTTTATGAAATTTTTTTGGTTTATAAACAATGTAACAACCCACTTCACCACATGGGATGATATTGTCCGCTTTAGGCTGAGCCTGCACAGTTTTGCTCTTAGGTTTTACCTCCAAAATGCCTCGTACCATTTGGAGATAACACTAGCACGTATGAGTACTTCACTTTCACCTTATAAGGCGATGTAGGACTGTGCAACCTGTATCTTGCCCAGTGTCTCGCACCTACCCACATAGGTCGCCACAATTACCGCCCCCCCCCCCCCCCCCCCCCAACGGGCCTAACTTCCCTGTTGGTCACACTTTCGGTTAAGCTCCAGCTCTGATACCATTTGTAACAGTCTACTCCACCACTTGGTATGATATTGTCCCCTTTGTGCATGATCCTGCACAATTTTGTTCTTTGGTTTTACCCCCCAAAAGGCCTCGAACCATTTGGAGATATCAGTAGCACAGGTCGCCACAAACAATATTTGTTGAGATAATTAGTTATGCATGTCAGATAGTTAGTTATGCATTTCAGATAGAAGAAGAGCATTCATATGGCCAACCCCATTCAATTGGGATAAGGCAATGATGATGATGAGATAATTAGTTATGCTTGTCACATATTGGTGAAGCGTAACACCATCTAAATGATTCCTCACTAAACTAGCATCTAAATATCGGTGCATTATTTGAATGGTGAGAAATGCAAAAATTGTATGGCCATGATATCCTTGGTGGCTTTCTAAAGGAAGCTCAAGTACATTGTCGCTCTCTCTCTCTCTTCCTCTCTCTCATATTACTTGGATGAATTTTTATATGGTATGCCAGAGAAGTTTTTATTGTTTGCATAGAAATTTTGGTAACACCAACCAAACAAATGGCTTCCTAAGTGACAAAATATGCTCTGCTACTAATTATCATAGGTTGGAATACCGAGGAAAGATATGATAGCATGAAGATTTGCAAAAATTATGGTCCTACAAAGAGAAAACTAGCAAAACATGATTAATGTAGCAGAGCACAAATATTTGTTGAGAAACTGCTTTCTTGTGTTGGTTGTGTATGCCACCACCTCGGGGTAAACTTTCTTACGATTTTTATTAAGTTGCATAGTCCCTTCATTCTGGACACTTATCAAACAAATGTGAAGTGAGTACATATAATGCTCTACTATTCCCTAGCCTACCCTAGAAAAAATTGTGATAACATACAATAACATACTCTCAAAGAACAATATTTCTTATATTTGTTGGAAGACACTTCACCAGTCATATCATGTTAACGTATGAGTAACAATTAATGCAGGTTGGAGCATCGCCAGACTTGATGGTTGCATACATCGACTTCTTCCTTGGTGGTGATGAGAAGCGTTTAGACATGGTAACAAGTATACAGAAGAGATTCCCCATGTGCATAATTTTTGGTGGTGATGGAAGCTATATGTCACCCTATAATCTTCACAGTGATGCGTTGATGACAAACCTTCTTGGCCAGGTTCTGCTTAATCTGAGATTTTTTAGTAGCATTAGAAATCATCCATTTCAATATTCTTATCTGACATGTCTTCTGTATTCTCAGCATGTCCCTGCAACTGTCTGGAATCATTTGGTGGCTGGTCTGAATGCCCAGTTTAGGACAGTGAGGCAAAGTTCCATTCGTTCTGCTCTGGTCCCTGTTATTGAATGGATAAAAAGTCATGGAAACCCCCAACTTGAGTTTCATGGGGTTAAAATTGAGATTGGATGGTTCCAGGCTACTGCTACTGGTTATTATCAGTTAGGTATTTTGGTACTGGTTGGTGATTTTTCTCTCCACAATCTGCACCATTCGGATTTCACGGACAGAAGTATTGACGAGTTTCCGAGGTAACTTTGAAAATTTTCTCCTAGGATATTGGTTGAACTGGTTATCTTTATATGATTCCCACAAACCCGGCAGCATCATATGTTGCATATTTAGGAACCATGTATCAGGAATTATACTTTGTTTAATAAGGATTCAGTGTTTATATCATGTCTCTGTCACATGAACCAATCTACTAGACAAATATTAACCGATTAGTTTATATAGTAATTCTAGTCTAGTGATGCGTATCTGATGAAGATATATGTGTGTGGTTGTCTTGTTATTTGTAATTCTAGTATAGTGATGCATATCTGATGAAGATATATGAGTGTGGTCTGTCTTGTTATTTGTATTTATTCCAGCTACCCTCTGTCTTTCTGTTCAGCCTGTAAGATAAGCATTGTTTAAGAACATATAAAACTTGGGAATACATGTTACCTCGCCCTTTACTGGATACAGAGAGAGAGAGAGAGAGAGAGAGAGAGAGAGAGAGAGAGAGAGAGAGAGGGAAAAAAAAGAGAGCATAAATTGGTCCAAAAGAAAAAAGAATGGTTTTACAGTTTTAGAACATCTAATAGAAGCACGCATATTGCTCACACAAGATATTTACACTTATTTTATCTTCGAGATACCTTCTAATGCTTTCAACTTGCAAATGATATAGATGCCATAGCATATTTCTATAACCATTGGATTGGTGTTCCCGAAATCTAATTTGTCGGGATAAGACTCCATTGACTAATTATAATAAGAAGAGGATGAAGAAGGGATAATAACACTCACCTCCCCTCTAATTAGGGTAAAATACACCATATTCCCCTATGTTTTGGAAAATCTCAACTACGCCTCTCTAGTTAACACCTTTGTAACAAATTGATCCCTGCTGTCAGTTTCAGTAACTGTCCACTGAGGTGATCAAACTAAAATTTCAAAAAGACAATCGTGTGTTTATAATATATGTGAAGACGCATCTTCCCTCTCTCTTTTTTAGGATCTCTCTTTAAATCACAGGTCCCTATTTTCTCTCTAAAATACATGCTACCCGAGTTCTCGCTTCTCAGAAGTATGCATATACAGAGTATATATTCATATTATATAGAGAGAGTGGAGAGTCCTAAGGTTGGATTCTCATAATCTATAATATCTAATACCTTAAAAACAAACTCCTCTTCCCTGGAAAAAGTCCAGACAATAATAAGGGAAGTGGAGAGTCTTCCATCCATAATAAATGGTGGTGTGACCACAGTTGAAGATGTAGGTATCCAACCATGCTTCTTCCTGTTCTGACACCTCATTGAAATTAAAAAATGATCTACAATCATTAATACTGTTTAAAGATGAAACAAACCCATGTTGGATCAGAATAATGGGTCAATCGAAAATGTATACTGAAAAGGCTCCTAAAGAACAATTAGAAAGAGAGAGAATAAAAACATAGCCTTCTGACAAGATTTCCGATTCATGGTGTTTTCAACCAGAAGATGCATATATACACACACATTGACAAAACACATCCGTGTTTAGGTGTTTAGACAAAAGGGATCTGAAAATCAGAATGTGCACATCTATATATATATATATATATATTTCATCCTCTTTGTCGGCTCTCTCTTTCTACTCCTCAATACCCGCCATGTATTCTTCCATCAATCTACAGAATATTCCTTCTTTGTCTTGATCTAGAACCATGAATGAAATCACCAGCAATCGATGCTTATAGTAGCCCTCAAAGAAGTCCTAACTGTTCGTTGAATCAACATCTCTCAACACATTTCATTGATACATATATTGTATATAACTGTGTCGAGTAGCTCTCTCTCTCCCTCTCCTTTGCCCATGCCATCAGCAACCACTGCCAGAAATCAATCTTCTCTCCCATATATATATATATATATATACCAATTCATATATATATATATATATATATATACACACACACACACATGTATAGGTTTATAAAACTATGATTTTAAGTTTAAAACTAATTTTTCAACAAGGTCAATATAGTAAAATTCTCCTACTCCGTTAACTGGCGTTAACATGTGTCACTTAAAGGGGAGGCAAGTATAATTATTCAAAACTTAGGGTAGGATTCTGTATTTTACCCTAACTAGAGCGGAGGTATGTGTAATTATCCTTAATAATAATAAGGCTGAAGTGCAAAAGAAGACTCCAAAGTATTAATTGTTTAGACACAACCCCTCTTAAACTATTAATTTGGTACCAAAAATAAAATAAAAAATTCGTGCAATCACCCGTACTGTGTAATTGTTGTTAGAAAACCAACGGGAAATGAGTAAGCCACAATGCATGTGACTGATATACCCTTTAATGGACCTTTATAAACTTTCATCCATTTGCAATAGCCGTTGCTGATGTGATCCAATCCATTTCCCATTTAACCCGAAATTACAATACTTTATTCTTAATAATGAAATTTAAAGTCTATTTTAGCCCTCTTAGATACATATATGTGATGTTGTGGCCCGAATTTGGTTCCGGGTCACATTGCAACTCGTTGTTTGAGCTCTGTGGGCGCAAGCCCACCAAAGATTTGGGGATTTGGAGGCAGCGCCCCCAAGGGTTTGGAATGGGATGTTTGAGAGATACTAAAAATTACTGAAAAGAGAGTGAGAGCGAGAGCTTGGGTTTGGGGCTTAAACTTGTAATCTCTTATTTTTCGCATAGTGAAAACTTTCGCCGGATCTTCACCATGGACGTAGGCTTTACCAAACCACACTAAATCTTTGTGTTTGTGTTCTTTATTTGTGGTGTGCTCATTTTTTTGTCGTGTTTCTTGGGTTCGTTGTGTTTGTCATAACAATATCTTTCCTCTTTGATCTCTCTCTCGTCTTCAATATCTCTCTTCATTTTCTCCTGACTGTCATTGACGAATGCTTAAATGGACAATGAGATTGATATTGTAAAGAGATTGGATGGTTGTGCTTAGTTGCTTAGGTGGTTTTGGTGTTGAACCCGTGACTTCCTGGTCACAATGGAGCGACCTTGCCGTTGCACGAACGCCCACCTTCATCTCCCTCACCCTAATCTCATATAATATAAAGAAACAAGGAAAAAACTAAAATACTCTTAGATAAGAAAGCATTCTTATCGTCTGATTGAAATGTTGGGGCAGTGGAAGCGTACGAATATACAGATCCAATGAATGCCAACAAAGCATTTACGCACAAACACAAGCTATAACGTGGTTCGGCCAAAATAGGCCTACATCCACGAATGAGAAGAGATTCCACTATGATTCCGTAAAGATATAAGAATAGTGGAGTACCAACACTGTGTACATGTCTTTTCACCATGTACCACTCCACAAGCCTATCATCTCACTAACAATGCCATTGGTGATTTTCTTACTCTACCAAGTCCCAACAATCTCCACCTTGGCTCAAAATCCATCAAGCTAATCATTGCTTCCCACAGCATTGATTAGGACAATTCTTTGCAACTTCAATTTTGCACACAAACCAAATCACTATTTAGGGACTTCCACCAACTGACAGTACCTACGACTTAATCTGATTTAGGGACTTTCTATCAAGGAGCTAGTTCCTCCTTTCCTTCGGATTGCATGCCAAGATGTCATGATCCACCTGCAAAACTATGGTTGTCCACTCCTGCTCGATCAGTCAAACGTGTCATGATCCAGTTGCAAGATCAGTTCCAAGGGAACTGGAAGGGCGTGCCAGGAACTGCCAAAGTTCCAATGAAGTGACAACAATATTCCAGTGAGGAAAGTTGCAAGATCAGGCGACTGTGAAGAGGTCTAGAATGACCAGGCTCTCTTTTGCCTCTGATAAAGGACTTAGCAATGATCAATTTCTTGTTCTATCAAGATCAAGAGGGTGGTATTGCTCCTTTATTTTTATTTAGTAGTCTTTTACTTACATATATATTTTTTTTTCATAAAAATAAAGGATTTGTTTATGGCTAAAGAATGGATGTCTCCTTTGAATTGAAAGGTTTCCAGTTGAATCCAAGAAAGAAATAGCATAATAAGCAAAAAGCAAGCAATTGATTCTAGAAAGAATCCACGCGATACGACCTAGCTACCTTAGAGCGAACCAAGAGATTCGATAGTTTGTTTCAGCGAAACTCCTCATTGTTTGTGGAAATAGACTGAAAGTACTGGACTTGAAAGTAAAGTGTTGGAATGTAAAGTATGAAAGTGCAAGACTAAAATTGAACATATTGAAAGTTTGCAGGAATGTAAAGGATAACTGAAGTCGTGTTAAATTGAAATAAGTGCTGTTGAGTTGTGTGTTGAACAGGCATCTCAAGTTACTATGGCCCTTTTAATAGAACGTCTAGTAGCAGTGACAGCTGACAGCTGACAGTTACATAAACATCTTGAGATATTTCCAAGTGGAACATCCTAGTTTGGGCCAAGTGTCTCATGTGTTCTTCAGCCTTTCCTCAATGTTGGCACGCGTGTGACCATGTATTCTTTTGATTTGCCGTTTCAGAATAGTGGGTTTAATGGTGCGAAGAATTCTTCGAAATTTTCAGCCACCTTCCGGAACTGTCTTTGGAGATGACCGTGATCTTGTTGAGTTTGAGCAGCCTCCCATGATGGTCTTTGCACGACTATGGGGGTTTATAACTTTCCTAAAATTTCTCCTTTGGTGGCATGTTTGGCGGTTGCCTGAGAGTGGATTCCCTTATTTTTTTGTCCATTCTCTCTTTAGAAGATTTGCTCTGCATATTTTTCGGACTTGTTTAACTAAACAACAAGTGGGCCTATCCTAAGATTGACACGTCCCTTTTGCTAGTTTGACATAGTCAACTTTTGACCTTTGTTTCCTAGCGTGGCTTTTGGATATCTGCCACGTGGTACTTGAGCCTTCAGGTTCCTTTGAATTATGCTACGTATCTGCTGTCAGGGGCTTATTTGTTATTACTTATTTAATGTTGGGTGCTTATGTGTAATTTCTGAAACTTGTTAGTATAAATGGAATGTGGTGGAAGGATGAAAAAATTCTTTCATTCTCTCTCTTTCTTTTTC